ATCACACATATATCAGTAGGATAGTCTATAAATGACTTTAGAGACTTATCACCATCATCAACTTACAGTTTGCTTATGATACTGTACACCTAGACTATGAGAAGTAACCCCTGATGCTGGAAAATATGAAAAGAATACCGGTGTTTGATTATAGGTGTCTGTGTTCTATCTCATGAGTAAAGCAGTATAATATGGCGATTGCTGTTGAGGTTACGCATAAATTTTTAGGTGGGGAGGGTAAGTTAGTCTTCAAGGTAGGGAAGCTGAATAGGTTGAGATGGCTATAACACGTGATGGCATACCAAGCCATCGCCTTCCTCGAGGGATAATGTTAGCCAGCACATGTTAAGGTTCCAAATGTGTTTGGGTCTGTCAAATGAAAAGCTGGTATTGGTTCATAAAATCGGTGACAGTCAGCTAGAAAAACTACTAAATATATGACTGCAAGTCTTTGTTTATGGCACAGATGCATTCACTCTGTGTAATCTCACCGATCTATTTAACTCATGTTTTTCCTTGTCACTATTTATTCTCCCTCAAATTTTCGCTCGTTAAACTTCCATTTAGTTTTATGTCTCTACCTTTGTGTGGTGCGTGGAATGTGGTAAACTAAACAGTTGAACTTCTTTGCGAAGTCATACTGAAAGCCAGGCAGAATGACAGTCTAGGCATAACTAAATGCAAAACACTGAATAATGATCTCCAGAATGTCAACAAATGATAAGTGCAGTTCTTATTCTTGTTCTTTGCTAAATGACAAATGGATACCTTTCAGTAATCTCTTCTTCCACCCGGGACTCGTCTCCTACTTTGCAAGTGTTTTTGTGCTTCATCACTTTTGTGCTAAGCTTTCAGTCATTCAGCATATGCCTTTGTTGACTAAGGACCTAGATGACATTAGTTGAGTAAGGTTTCGGCCGTGCAAACACGAGTCCTGCGCAGCTGATTGGTTGCATTATCATTTCTCAAATGGAATACAGCATACTGTATATTAGGGTAAATCTTCCGCCTCGCTTGCTGAAGCTGGTGTTCCTCAGGGTATTTTTATCTTTCCTTTTCTTTTTTCTCTCTCGTCTTACATGACTTTCCTCTTTCTAATGAGAGCAACTTCGTCAAATACGCTGCTGATCTGACCGTCTCACTTCCTGTCATGTTATAATGTGACTGCAGCAAACTTAACTGCTTCCTGTCGGTAGTCTAAGGTACATGGTCTTACGTTAAGTCCCTCTAAATGTCAGGCAGTTATTTTTCCCTTCACTCTTAAGCGTGATCTACGAGAACTGTGTCGTTCACAAGATGCTTGTATCAAAGAGGACACTGAAACATAAACTAAGTCTAACATAAAATACCTCGGAGTGGTTCTATCCTCTAGTCTTTCTTGGTCACTCTATATCTTGTCGATTTCTACGATAACCTTAATTGCAGCTTACCACGTTATGTAGCCAAGACAATCAGGAATCATTCAACCTCTATTTTTACAATTTGTTAACTCGCATTGGTCTTTACTGCTCCCCCTTATTCTTTCCTGAATTACTCAAAAGCGGCTATGTCATTTTGTGCAGGGTATTAAGATTATCATGAGGGTAAGTGGTGTACCATTTAGTCAACTCGTTAATGCATGAGTTGAAAGACATCTAAACTGATGCGAGAAATGGTCTAAATGTATGCTGTCTAACCCTCAACATCCCCTCTATTCTCAGCTCTTCCCTTTAATTTCATCTGATGGAACCAGAAGTCAGTATAAAAGATTATATGGTCGTTCAACCAAGCGTGGGAACTCAGCGATACCACATATAGACAATCAGTGTTCTATGTGTCAGAGGCAACGTAAAGCGTAAGACTTATGAATTACTGTGTTGTTAGGTAAATAAGTGGCCCTTTTATTATCTACTTTTAATCTACGGTTACACTACCTCAATTAACTGACAATTTTAGTAACCAACCCTATTATTTACAATTTTTCTGTTCAATAAATATATATAAATATACATATGATTTCACTGTCACTACTAATACCAAATATGAAGTGTCCTTAACAATCCTGTAATGTAATCTTTACAACTCTTTCAAATATTACTTCATAAAATTAGATGCAATAATGTACGAGATGCTGCAAACTCAACACTGTAACATTAATACTGTTTTGGAACAAAGCAAATTATTATTACTGTTGCACCTCGCTGCAGTTTTAATCTGCTTATACCCTTATTATTGCCGTATTCTAAGTATTGCACTCATTTTCTCAATTTCTTGCACTGTGTAAATAGGGTGCAACGAAGAAGTAACAGTGAACTATAAGTAAGTAACGTTGACGCAAGAAATGGTAGCAGTCGAAAGAAATGAAATGAGTTGAAGACTTTGTAATAATACTAGTAATCTCCTTTATTCCAAAACAGTACTTGACTTATTTACCTATGCATTTTAACGTGTCTTCTAATTATCTTATTTTTGTCTTTGTAGACATTGCCTAAGATGCCGCTGTACGCATCGTCTGGAAGCAGCCTTTAATTTCATCTACCTTCCGCAAAGTTTGTCGTACGAAACGTCGAAATTTTACTGATTGGAAAACGCTACAATTGGTGTTTATGTTACTGATGCAGCGATACACAAGACTAGACACGTTATAGCGACGTATGCTTGTAATAACATTACCTACATAGTAAATACAATGCTAATTACAAAACCTCGTCATTATCTTTTCATTGCGTACTTATAAGAAAAAATGTTTACCTTATTATATTACTTCTCATACTAAGTACTGAAGATTCCGCCTAGTACTCACTTCTACTTGCTCTCTATAAAATGCTTTCTACTATATTCGCAAATGACTCTTAAACTTTTGTCACATGAAACGGTAAAACGGAAGGCATATACAGTTTAGAAGTTGGGGTATATTTGCAGTTATTGACACAAAATATATGTACATCTTCCATTTTCAGACAAGAAAATTCTCAAAGTAATTCAGGGTTGCGCGCAGTGCACTAATAGTGCATTCATTACTATAATTATCCTGCATAACTGCGGAGCTTCTGTTCAATTGCCGGCGAAGTTGCAGTATCTCCCTTCAGGGTTTTTTTACTGAAATTTCACACGTCACACTACTTGGTAGTAATGGATCCCGCCAAAAGCATCTGCGACACAGTCAACTAAAAGTATTAATTTAAATATTATTAAGAGTTTGATTTACCTGTAAACTGAGGAGCAGCATATGCCGGCAAGGTATTCTTTGTGCCATAAAAATTCTGCAGGTACAAGTTGAATTGGTATAATCCACTTGGTGCAGGTATATGTCGTCAGTTATGATAGCCATATCATCAGTATACAACTCTATGCTCATTCGACGATTGCGGCTATAGTCCTTGGCAATTAACTTAGCGGCATAAGGAGTGAAGTTTCGTAATATCGGCATAACTGGTTCTGCTGCGTGGTACTTATGAATCCGACAACTTTCGACGATGGCTTCAACACTCCGACGCTTCTCTGTGCGTACACACCACTTATACGTCTTGTACATACATACGTGTAGGGGATCTCTTCTGTGGAGATATCGTTTTAGGTGACTGTGAGAGCTTTCAACTCTATTGCTGGTACTATTAGACAGCAATAGAGTATTCGGCATATATGCCACAGCCCACGTCTCTTTCTTAGGCACCCAGTAATGCCTGACATAATTCCACACCCTCCGATCAACCGTCCTAATGACACTAAGGTAGTGACGATATCTAAATGGTTAGAAATCAATGCAGTAGCTTTAACAAGACGATATAAAAACCTGCGTACAAAAGGATTTCGAGTCTAAATGTATCAAGTATCAACGTTGGGGAAAACCAAAGAAAAGTTGCCAATCAAAGTGTCCAAATTCTTTTTGCTTGAGGCTTGTCATTCACAGAACTCACTTCCGGTTGACGTAGCCACAGCTATTTCATTTTGTGGCTTAAAGAGAGGGTATGAAGAATGTGCAAACTCTAAGGCCATGCACATATCAAGTGGAGGAGCCGGATGGATCTCGCACCATAATCATCCGATTCACCTCCTACTGCAGAGATTCCCCACTTTATTTTCATTGATTTTTCGCCCCTTTTTCACAATTACTCGCCCATTCCTTTCTTATTTTAAATAAACTTATTTTACTGTAGAGTATATATTTCCTCAAAAATAGTAACATACAGCTTCTTATCATCATTCGACACCAGGTGCTAACCTTTCCAGTCCCAGATATACGGGCAAGTAATGGTTTGTTCTCAACAATCCTCCCTCTTTGGTACCCTGTCATTTAATTTTGGACATTTGCAGACAGTGTCTAGTTAGTTTATCAGTACTGACTAACGTTACGGCTACTGAAATATACTTCATACTTCTGACTAAAAAATTACTAGCCTTTTTTTACTTTAACCGATCTCTTATGGTAAAGCGGACGACTAAACTGAAGGGTGAGCGACGGTTTTGCTGCGTCTTTGTGTTTCACATGCTCGTCTACATCCCTCACCTAAAAAGACCTTATACCAATTTTTGTATCTATCTCGAAATCAATTTTTCTCTCTTTATATCCCACTACCTCTTTGTCCTCTTTATGACTGGCCCATAGACTGTCCGATGAAATGACAACTTCATATCCCAGAGAACACACTATCCTAGAACGACCCGAACACACTGCGAATATACATACTCTTGCAGCACTCGAATGAATCACAGAAGTCAGTGAGAGGTCATGTATAGTGGGATTCACTCATAACTTAAGCACTGGGTAAGATGTAGGACTCCATTAAGTTGGGGAAACACCTAGGTATGGGTAAACTTGGGGACTTAAATTTGCCTTATGAGGGATGTTAAAGATCACCAACGCGTTCATATTCTGGGGTCAGTATTCCATAATTTTGCCGAAAATAATTGCATCACGTTGAAACAGTAGACTAATACCTTTATTCAACCTCCTCACAGTGACCTTAGGCATTGAGCATTGAAGGTAGTAACATGTAATGCGGGTATTGGATGCTGGTATTCCCTTCTTTCAAACTCAAGGTCAGTCTGAAGGTTAGATGTCTTCAGCGGTTACTCTAGCTTTTGTTTTGCTAATTACCTACAATGGAGTTTGCTTTGGGCACAATTTGGAAGATTTAAAGTAGTTAAAAATTAGATTCTTTATTTTCTCCCACAGATATCGTGTCAAGAAAATTTTTTACCATGCGTATGATAACTACTTGAAGTACGCATATCCATTAGACGAATTGCGACCACTTTCATGTAGTGGTCATGATACATGGGGGAGTTTTTCGCTCACTCTGGTGGATGCACTTGATACCCTTGTGATAATGGACAATCATACAGAATTTCGTCGTGCTGCCCGTGCTCTTCTGGATAACTTAGATTCCGAGAAGAATATTAATGCTTCCGTTTTTGAGACTAACATCAGAGGTATGTTTTTTCTCATCTTATTGTGTTCAGTTGTTGGTGGCCTCATCTCAGCCCATCTTTTATCTCGAAGAGCTGGCTTTGAAGTGGAGCCGTCCTGGCCATGTTCTGGAGCTCTTCTACGACAGGCGGAAGTGTTTGCTAGTAAGCTGCTACCAGCGTTTGATACTCCCACTGGAATGCCGTATGGCACGGTCAACTTCAAGTTGGGCGGCGTTCCTACTGACGAAACAACAGTTACATGTGTAGCGGGTGTCGGAACGTTCATTTTGGAGTTTGGAGCTCTGTCGCGCCTTACAGGTAATATTTTAGTTTAGACTTAAGCATAAATTGATTTATAAAGCTTAGAGTAGATAGGATTTATTTTCACTTCTTACATCAGATGAAAATATTAAGATTCTTTGCATTCCATATTCATAGTTCTAGTTGACGTGGTCGTGTTTTTTGATAAACGTTTGGGCAAAGTTAAACTTTAAGCACCACTAACTTCCAATTAGCGAATGACTTCGAATGCACCAGTCACATGAAGGAGGCATTTTTGTGTATGGAATTCATATATTTATGAAAAAATGCATAAAAACTGTACAAAAGTGTTACAGAGGATACCCTTCTCTCACATGTGATAAAAATGGCTGTTAATTTTAGGTTGGAGTATCAACAGTGTATAATTCCATTGTGGGTAAAATTTATTTTGATAAAATCTCATAGTGTTATACAGTAACATTTACTGAGCAATAAATTGTGCTGGAAACGCCATCAGTAAATATTACTGTATACTGTATATTACTGTTATGAATTTTAAGACTAAGGCTTATAGTCTAGAGGTAAGGTCAGGTTTAGGGTTAATGTTATGATTAGGAGTTAAGATTATGATTAGAGTTAGGAGTAAGTTCAAGAATAGTGTCAGAAATACCAATGGATCTCAAAGTACCATGACCTAGATTCACCTGGATTAATGGATATATCGTGTGTGGTACGATTTCTCTATAGATCATCTGTATAGTAACTAGGAGAAATTCTTACAACACATAAGCTACAAGCATACAGTGTAATATCATGTTTGCAATATTGTCTAGTGTATTTTTCAACGTCTATACGACTTTTTTGTATCTCAATTCTGATTGATTGTTTAAGATCACTGGCTATGATAGTTTGACTCCTCCGTAATATCAAATACTAACGTTTGTAATATACGATTATCCCTACTCTTGTGTAACATCAAATCAGAGACATTTAGCCATAGAAAGCAACCGTTGATTCATTGGATTTATGAAGTATATTTTGTGACCAATTTCTCTCAGCCAATTAGTACCTTAAGCTAACTAGGAGCCATACACGAACAGTCGACCGTAATACAATAGCATATCAAGTGACCTAGTTGCTTGACCATGTACTTCCGTCTTGATAAGGTTTCCTAAACAGTTGCTGATCCTATGGAATCATCCGTCACCGAAAAAATTGCATTTCGTAACAAGGGTATTTGGTTATGCTCGGTGCCTTATGATCTGTTTGCCTTTCCATTTTCCTGTCTGTTTGGAATTAATTTTCTTAAATTCTTAGGTCACACTTAAATTAGCCCTAAATTTCGGTTATTTTTTATTTTACTGAATCTACGGAGGGTAAGGCACCACTCTGAAAGGATGGACGCTTTGTAAGAGTTATCAATCCCTTAAAATACCTGGTTTGTTACAGAAAACATCGTATTTTATTTTATTCAAATTATCTCAGGATCTGTTTCCTACTAACAGAGTGGAATATTGCAGGATAAATTAATTGATTTACTGTATCCATCAGACATAGTCAAGGTTCAGCTGACTAACTGAAGGATGACAGTCCTTTATTCATTGATGAACAAAGGCTATTTTCACTACCAATCAGCAAGTCATAATCTTGATTATTTTGAAGATGGTTTCTAATGAAAATACTACCAACAAGTATTTTGTTTTAAAAATCGTATGCTGTTTTTACAAATGGTCATGTTCTTATGTTTCACTTTCTATACAGGTGATCCTAGGTATGAGGCTGCTGCAATGCGTGCCCTGAAAGCTTTATGGAAGTATAGATCTACTCTTGGATTACCGGGCAACCATATCGACATTAGCACCGGCAGTTGGACAGCACGTGATGCCACTATTGGTTCAGGAGTAGATTCTTATTTTGAATATTTAGTTAAAGGTGCAGCCCTTTTTCGTCTTCCTGAATTAGATGCCATGTTTCGAGGTATGTTTATTTCTTAACCGTAGTTTTATAACATATTTCATGTATATAGATAGGATTAAATTAATTATTGGTCGTAAATAGTTAAAGTGAAATCCACCTAAACAGGTATATGAAAAGAATTATGGAATATTCCAGCTTTAGTCAGGTTTATGAACCAATAAATTGTCCAAGTAGTAAAAAATAGATTTAAAACATTAAGAACAGTTAGTGAGGTAAATTTTTCTCTCAACATTCTGCAGTTATAAGTCCATGAAAACAGTCACTGTAGCAGCCAGTGCAAGTCATACGGTGAAATTAATGAGTTAATAAAATAGCCACTCTCATGGACTAATCATTCAAGCGTACGTTTCATAGTTATAGTCACTCTGACTCTGATTCAGTGGTGAAATCACTATGAAGAGAACGGTCACATTATTGTATATATAAAGACTTTAACTTCCAAATATGAGCAGAATCATTATCAAAATTTTCACACTTAACTTTTTGTATCTACAGACTACAGACTAGCAATTGAAAAACATATTCGACATGGTGATTGGAATCCGATGATAAACAAAGATAAAGGTGGAGTCACTATGCCAGTGTTTCAGAGTCTTGAGGCTTTTTGGCCTGGTTTATTGGTAATTTACTTAATTTTTAATGAAAATAACATAGTTTCTTGTGTAATTAGTCATTTAACGTGGACAATGCAATATATTCTCCATCCTTAGAATATTCGTAGAAGCTATAACATGCTTACCACTTGGGTTACTAAGATGTACCACAATTTTCATGGGGTATTACACTCATGAACGAAAAAATCTAGTCCTGTCTTATCGATTATGTCCTTTCCTTAAAGGTGTATGATGTGTTGTAAAAATGTGCTTCATTATTCTGAAGATGTATTCAAGTGGTTTAGTTTAGTAGCTTTCAGATTTCTATGGAGGCTTCTAAATGAAAGAATGTCTCATTGTAATGACGTACAAATAAGGAGATTACTCAAATGTTGTATTGTCATTTGCATCTGAAACAAACCGTTGTGTGACATTGAGTGATTCATATTGTTCCTCTCGGAAGCAATAATCTCAATAGGAATGCCATCACTCGATGCGAATCCAGGTATATTCAGATGAATAGTCCCAAACAGGATGAAGTGCGCATCCTACATTCCACTGCTAGTCACCATCCGCCAAATAATAACTTTAAACACTCAGTTTTTGGACCAATAAAGTACCTGTTAGATATGAGCAACCAGTTAAACAAATAAATTCACTCAGAACCTTGTCTGATATATCCGTTCAACTGAGGGATAACATCGTAGCAACTCACGTAAAACAAACGGAAATACGACAATGTTATACTAAACTTTTAAAAAGTATTATAGGAAAGCGTAGAAAAATTAAATATAAGCTTATCGGTTTCTGGATGATAAATGACATTGCTTTAAATCGAAACGCATCAATCAATTGGGTAATGTTGTTGTATACTTTAGTTTAGCACTACGTGTTAGTGATGCATTGGTAGGAAGCCCCACTTAACCTAGAATTCCTGTGTCGGTGCCTATCATAAAGATGTGTCTACAAGATATTGGAAGATTAAGTTTTTTATGCTGTCTCAACATAAGTCTTCGAATTTGGCACTGCTTGGATTCGTATATTTAATGTCAAATAAGTGTGCCATATCCTTGTGTTACGTAATATAGTAAGCTCACTGCATATTTGATCGATTGTTTCCGACTACATGGTGGTTACCTTTGTGTGACTACTTTGAATGCCTGATTTAGTTCTTCATTAAGGTTACACAATTCCGAAGTTCATACAATAAATGACTTTTCTCAGGGTTACAGATGCACCTAGCTGATTGGTGTATACTAAACACCAGGTTGCAGTCAATTGACTGCTAATATATGACGGACAGTAACATTTAAAACAGTGAGTGTGTCTACCCTGGTGTGATTGATTTCGAGCCTAACAACTATAACAGTGCGTAAATTTTCGAGTGATAATACTCCCTTCAAAACCCTGTACTTTCGTCTCAGGAACCAATAAAATAAATGCATTAATTTATGGGTTTTTTTTCATTTCTCACGAAGTAGTATGCGGATCCAAGAGTTGCTAAAATATTATGTTGCAATGTTTTCATTAGTGAATTTCAACAAAGCATAAACAAGATATAGAACAGGATGAAAGGAACCATTTTATGTCATCATTATCTGTTTATTTTTCAGCTTCGCTAACAACCGCAAGCATATGAATGCAGCTGGCAATAAGGCACACCTGTTTTGTGAAGACTGATACTGTCATTTAGTTTACCAAGTTTTAGTAGGAGAACCTGTGGGTTCGAACTTGTGACCCACTAGTTGAAAGTCCAGTGCCTAATCGAATGAGCCATCACTGAAAATAATCCACTCCCCATTTAATAGGATATCTATCTTTTCTAATGCTTATAATAGTTGATGTGAAACGCCTATTCGTTTTTACTTAGCCTTCTTTTTCTGAAAACACTGCATCTTATATATGAATCTACTGTGTGTTTCATTTACAATAACAACAACTTTGCTAGATTTTAACTTTTTTAAGCTCATTTGAAATGTTTAGCACGTTGGTTATCGAGCTAATTTTCTCGATAATTTTAGGTTCTTACTGGTGATCTGGATGCAGCTCGAAGACATCTTACTGCTTATCATGAAATATGGAGACAATATGGATTTCTTCCAGAACTCTATAGTCTAACTGAAGAAAAAGCATACAGAGGTCGTGAGGCTTACCCTCTACGACCAGGTAAGCATGAAATATTCAATTTTATAACATTTTCTCTGTAATGATCATTTTTGTTAGTTTAATATTTTCCAAAATTTAAGAAACAGATGTGTTGATCACAGCCTATATGACAATGAAAACAGAAAACTGTTGATGCAACAAACTATTATTGCAATTTGTAGTTAAATAAAAATTTTGGTTATTAGAGAACAGTAGAAAATTAATCTGATGCTCACTAGCGACTGGCCCTATTCAGGCAGTTAACCTGGGGTTCTAGTGGGAAACCGTGACCAGTAGGGTACAGCAGGTTTAAGATGAGGCAGTAACTCATCGAAAAAGACATTGCGAAATGGTCGCGCTATGTCGTGAATTGGTAGCAGTTAGAATTCAAGTACCATTGGATCGGGTCCCAGTGGCTCAATGGTCTACGAGCTCGCCTTGTAACCAGAAGGTCCTGGGTTGGAACCCCAGTAGGGTGGGTGCGTACTGATGAAGACTCTCAATCTAGGACGAAACAACTGTCCAGCACTCCTAGGTTTTCCAGTGGTTCTCTAACTGATGTCAGCTCATGATGAAATCCTCCTTGCAATCAAACAAATTCCCTACAAAACCAATACTTGAAAACAGTAGAAAACTCGAATGTTAAAAATCTCCATGTTTGTGTAGTATGACATCTAATGGCAAAACAAGCAGACATATAGACGTTGAACCTCATACATTAGCGCATGGAATCGACTTAGAACATTTAAACTCAGCATACAACACAAAATTGAACAGAACAATGTACACACATGAGTATAAAACTGAGAAAATATATAAATCAGAATTATTGAAAATATTCACAATTGCAAAGAAGATAAAGAGTGAATCCATTTGGGTTATTGTCAACAGTTGTGAATCATGTCAGCAAGAGTTCCTATCTGTTAAGATTCAGTTAACGTATATAAAAGAAACTTAATAAATAAATGTTACATTTTACTCTGACCTAACCTAATTATTACTGAGCTAAGACCGCTTTTTCAAGAATGAGTTGGTTGAGTAGACGTAGGACTTCCTGTAGTAGATGAAGCTGAAAAAAGACCCTAATGTTTGACTTTCTATCCTTACTTAGTATTGGATGTCAAACTAAGTCACAGAATTCAGGGTCTCTCTGTCTGTTTTCGACGTAAAACTTTGCACCGATGTGCAGCAGTTCAAGTCGCCACACTCCATGTAGCACACAAAGCAAGAGAAGAAAGTAGAAGAAATGCATAATAGAGACAGTAAATAGAGGTGTGAGACAAAGGAACAGTAATAACGGAGAACAAAACAGTTTAATTGGAAATCATAAGTCACAAGGAGTGGATGCATCTGCACCAGCCATTGAGAACGATTTTGAGCCATATCACCAATTGTTTCCAGCCATTGGTGTTAACCATCCCGAGGACCCCAACCAGGAAGTCTACATCTTTCTACGTGGCCTAGACTAACTGTTGTGGATTTCATTGACTGGTGCCATGTTTTGGTTTGACCGCCGGTAGCTCTTTTCCAACCTGACCCTATGTCAACTGACATTGCCCGTCGAGGAAGGCGGTGACTAGGCATACGTAACACATGTCCTAACCAGCTCATTCGATGTAACTTCACAGTCTCGTCGATCGAATTCCCCTCCTTACTTAGCACTCGACGCATGAATTTAGGGTATTCAGTTATTTTGAAGAAAATGAATCAGTAGGTTTGGTAAAGGAGATGTTTGATGGTTACATTTATTACAGTTATGCAATCACAAGTATGCCTAGCAATAAACTTTCTTGGCACTGTCTCTACAGCCAGACAACTGCAGTTGACTGCTGTCAACCGATGGAGTCGAATGCCCCTAAGTAATTCCTCTTTTCCAGAATCTTTCGAAGAGTGAAGATTGATCAGTGCACCCTAGCCTGGGTCTAAAGTCTGCCCCGAGTATCGTTAGCTTTAGATTCATACATTCTCTGAAAGGCTAGGCATCCTAAAATCTCAGATATCACCTGATTATTGTCGAGAATCGGAAGTCGGAAGTTAAGCTTTTCCAATTCCTTCTTAGAGTGGAAAAGCAGTATAACTGGCTTGTTGGCCGTTCAAAGAGGTCTCTTCCCACTATGATAGTAACTACTTCTGGTCTATTATTCATCCGACCTTCTTGCCATGGTAAGAATTATAGAAATATTCATTGCAGTCAGCATACTTAGTTCGGTTATTGTGTTATATAATTCTGATAGCCACGTCAACGTAATAACTATCCGTTGTACAAAACTAACAAAAATCACTTCATGATTAGTTAACTTTTGAAAACTCGGGAATCGTTTCCAGTTTTAAACTTCTATTTTAAGTTTGTTAAAATCACTTTTTTGGAAAACAATTTAATAGTGTTGAAATTTATTCCCTATAGAATTAATCGAATCCATTCTTCATGTATATCGTGCTACACGTGATCCGGCTTTGATTGATATGGGTGTGGATATTCTAACTTCAATTGAAGTTTCAGCGCGTACATCTTGTGGTTTTGCAACGGTACGTATTCTCACGCTGCTTTTCCTGGTTGTACTGATGTATAGTTTGTAGATAAACGTATTAAAAGTTATGTATACAATTAGTGGTAACTTAAAAAAAAACTGTTTATGACTCTGAATGTTGTTTTGTGGCGTGGGCTATTGATAAGATTTGTCAATAGTATATAAAGAGACGTTCATCCGCATAAAAACATCACATAGCGGGGAGATGGATTCGTTGGCTTCACTGCCGACACTAGCGGGTCTCCGTCTGGTCCCAGCTTCGCGGCACGGAACTGTTGCATCACCAGCTGCCTGTTCGCCGGGCTGTTGAACTCTGCCACCAATCGTCCAACCAGTAACTTTCAGGCTTCCTTCTCACCTGACCGCTCTACACTGTCGTACGCCGCCTTTCCTCTACCTCTCAGTAGCGTCCCCAGCATGACCGCCTTCACCGTCTGATTATTGACGCCCACCAACTTATCTAGGGATCATTGTCTCAACTACAGCAGGAACGGACGAGGATGTCAAATCGAGAATCGGGAAGGCGAGAAACACATTCATCAACCTGAAACCAATCTGGAAATCTTCGTCACTTATCATCAACAACAAAATTCGGATTTTCAATACAAACGTCAAGTCACTCAGTTCTTCTATACGGATCAGAAACTTGGCGGGTCACAAAGAATATTTCCAACAGCCTGTTGCAGACCTTTATCAACAACTGTCTTCGCTCTATACTGAAGATCAGATGGCCGGAAAGAATCACCAACAAGAAACTATGGGAAGAAACAAAACAAGAACCAATCGCCCAACAAATATGGAGGAGAAAGTGGAGATGGATTAGACACTCGCTGAGGAGGCCGCTGGGTGACATCGCGCGTCAGGCCATAGCTCGAGTGGAACCCAAAAGGGAAGCGGCGAGTGTGATGTCCAAGGGTTACATGGAGGAGTTCGTGTGAAGAGGAGCTGAAACAGTATGGACTAACATGGATGCAGGTGAAAAGTACAGCAAAAGACAGAAACAAGTGGAGACGTGCAGTTGAAGCCCTATGTTCCACTAGGAACCCAAGGGAACAATAATAATTATAATATACCAGCTCAGTGACGGCCCCAAAGCCCCGCAAAATGCTCCTGATGTATTTTGCATCGAAAGTAACCAGCCATGGAATCTTCATTGTCTAGAGTCGGTGACAGCAGTTATAACGGTAGAAGAGACTTGGTAAAGGAATGGAATTTGATACCTCTATATAGCGAAGTTATGTGCACCTTATCTTCAAGTTACCATCTACGCAGATCTTCTGTGTTCTGCTACTTCTGGCCTTCGTATTGTGTTTCTTTGTCTTATTTCGTGTCTCCTATATATAATACTTAGACACACTAAACAATGACGGTACGTAATTTTTTCAACTAATTTCTTTTCACTGGGGACTGCAATCCTGATTTGTGTCCAGTTTACATGAGGCTTCCATCCCCAAAAATACATCGGTATTGAAATACTTCTCAAATCATTATGTTTCAGTGACCACATTTCAAAACCATATATCGAAAAAGATTGAGCATTAAACTATTAGCAGATATTCAAGTATTTATTTTACTGGGACTATCGTTACCTTTGCAACTTAGCATGTAAATGAAGTGGTCAGCTCATTTGGCGTTTGGAAAGATGCGTACTGAATGCAGGTCTCAATGGGAACACTATCACTCACTGGGGAATGCAAATATATATCCAGACGACGAGTCCCAAATAGGACGAAATACGCATTCTGGATTCCACTGTTAGTCACCATCCACCAAATCACTTTAATCCATTTTAAAAACTTCACTGCCTACTATCAAAAGAGGTATCAGTTTATTTCTGAAAGAGATCAGAAGAGCATCACTTAAATATTAAATCACTACACTCACTCTTCAAAAACTTCATTTTTTCAACAGTTTAACGTAATTAAAAAATATTCTGCTTGTGGTTTCATATATAGTTCTATTAGAAATCGTTAGAGCAAAGTCCTAAAAGTGTACAGCTAGAAAACTTCTCCATAGTTTGGTTAAGTGAAAACCAATTTCTCTAAACATTTGTGAATCTCAAAACCAGTTAGTTTGAAAGTCAATTAAAGCATCGTAATGACTAGACGCAGCGATCGATAGGACAGAATGGAGAAACCACCGAAAATATACAGCACTAACATTCATTTAGGTGACCAATACTAGAATGTTACTGGTTACAAGTGTATTGAAGCTCTCCTAGTGATCCCAGTGGATGAATGGTCTACAAGCTCGCCTCGTAACCGGAAGGCCCTAGGCTCGAACCCCCCGGTGGGTGCGTACCGCTGAAGAGTCCCGAATAAGGAGGACGAGTAACTGTCCAGTACTCCCATTTTTTTTCCAGGGGTTCTCGAACTGCTGTCAGCTCGTGGTCAAACCTTGCTACTTTTTTTACGAGTGATGATTAACCTTTAGTTAAGACTTACTTCTCAATACTGATTAATTTTGGTATTTTCTACTTTTTTGGTTATGATTTAGCCTCTTCTACTTTAGTGTATGCTAGAGGTACTTATTTAAAGATTTTATAACTATTTATTCAGATTGCAGATGTTACAAAACACACACTGGAAGACAGGATGGAATCATTTTTCTTAGCAGAGACGACAAAATACTTATATCTTCTATTTGATGAAAATAATTTCATTCATCAGTTACCAGGTGAGCAAACACTCACTGGGAGTTCTCGTTCACCAGCAGGACTACAATGTTATCCAGAATCTGGTGGCTATATATTCAACACAGAAGCTCATCCAATAGATCCTGGTGCTTTAAACTGTTGTTCTGCTTCACGTCTAGATGAAATTGAACAAGCTACTAAAGTGAAAACTTTAATCTCTGATTCCACTCAATATAAGCTATTAATGGATAATAATAATAAGCGGGAGAGTGATAAAGAAGTTAACAAAGCCAGTCAACAGAATGTAGATTCAGCTGTGGAAATCGATTTACTTTCTGCTGTTGATTCAGTATTCAGTGAACATATCCAATCACAGTTTGGTATTTCTTCAGATGATGCTTTCTCATGGGCTGTTAACCAAACAGCTTCGAACTGTTTCAACAATGCATTGTTTGATTCCAGTCTAATTCATTCATGGAAAGAATTTCGTAAAATAATTGAATCATCATCGTCATCATCACTTTTACAGGATGATAAGCAACAAAAATCTTCAAATGTTAATTCATTCACCTCTAAAACGTCTCCATTACTTACCTGTCCTTATCCATCATTTCAAAATCGATTTGCTTACTCAGGAATACTGACAACAACATGATATTTTGTTTTGTTTTGATCGCCTTACTTACTGACTTACCTTTCTCAGGTGTTCTGTGATCTTCATGTTGTAGATATTACTCTTTTTTTATGACTGTTTTTCTGATGGGAATATATATATATATATATATATTTGTTTAAAACACTGATTATTAGTCAGTGAATTCTGTCACTTCTTCCGAAAAAACACATGATACTGAATTTTTGTTTTATTTTTTAAAATAAATATTTGTTGTTGTTATTCACCTCGACTGCTGACGATATCCATTCCTCAGTTTATTGGTACATGCGTCTTTCTTGTTGAGTGGTACAGTATGATGAGCAGTATTTTGAGGTTAGGAGAGTAGAGTGATAAGTGCTGGGGAGGGTAAGCCAATCGATGAATGAAGTTGTAGAGCTACATCGATTGAGATGGCTAGGACACGCATATTACACATGACGTGAGCCACTGCCTTCCTCAACGAGCAGTGTTAGCTGAGATAATGGTTGGTTTGGAAAAGTGTGGAACTAATCTATGAAGTCTTTGAGTTGATTTTTCGTGCCACTTAGGGAGGTGTAGACTGCCTGGTTGTGGGGTCTTCGAGACTCTAAGAACCCAATGGCTGGAAACTGTTGATGATATGGCGCAAATGCATTCACTCCATTGGGCCCTCATGTTTTTTTCCATGATACTACTCTTTCTCCTGCACATATCTGCCCAATATATATTTGTTTTGAATCTCTTTTCTTCCTGTCTTTTCCCTACCTTTGTATGCTACATCGAGTGTGGCACCTTGAACTGCTGCAGTTCACCTGTAGAAGCTTAACACGGCTGCTAGTGAAACTTCAAAGTTCACGCTTTAAGCTCTATGTGTGACTGGGAACGCAATGGAATAAAATTTTAAAAATAACTAGTCCAGCGAAGAGTGTCTTTTCGGTGAATTCATTTCCATAGCTGTACAACCGCAAATATATATGGGTTATTTTGTATGTGTGTGTACATTAAATTTGTCAGACGAAAATACAATTGGTTAGGCTTGTTGTTGTAACTAAAGGGGTGTAAAATTAATAAGTTTTTGGTGGAGTCACGTAATGCAAAAAGCGTTCATAGGGATTAGATGTTGATACAAGAGGGTAGTAACAAAAGTGATGAGTTGTCACAAACAATTGTTAAAGAAGAGTTACGTAACGACATGAATACTTTGATGAAAGAGTTGTGCTCAGGGTGCACATTGAAACAAAATAAAATACGGAATTACGTAAGAGTTTTAAAGGAATACAAGAGTTTTAAGTAATTAGAAAACAAACAAAAATTAAGTCAAATCAACAGAGTTGTCACCATGATAGTAGAAGTGGTCGAGTAGTTTTTCTTTGTATGCATAGTTCTGGTTCTTCTAACTGAATGGCTAAGGCTTCTGCGATGCAAAGAAGACGGAAACGTATTGTCTTTGGCAGGTTGTTCTTCACTTTGTAGATTACTTTGAAGGAGGTATTTGTTGAGATGGAGTGACCAGTGATGACGAGATGTTCGATTATTGCACTCCCTATTCAGCCACTACCTCCTTTCTGCAACCACTCTGGATAGTGTTCTTTGACCCTTTTTGACAGAATCCGCGTCGAACGACCGATGTACTTGGTTCCACAGCAACAGGTGAACTGATATACACACATAGAAGTGGACAAGTCATCACTTTTGTTACTACCCTCTTGTATCAAAATCCAATCCCTCTGAACGCTTTTTGCACTACGTAACTCCACCAAAAACCTACTAATTTTCACCCTTTTAGTTACAACAACCCAACAATTGTATTTTCGTTTGACAAATTTAATGTACACACACACACAAAATAACCATATATATTTGCGATTGTACAGCTATGAAAATGAATTCACCGAAAAGACACTCTTCGCTGAACGACTGGTCTTCTCTCTATTAATGTCCGAATGGTGATTTTTCCTGAAACAACTAGTTCACTCATAGTCCAATGTATTTTGGATGACTTTTGCCCATAAAAACATTTACCTTCTAACTTGGAGTAAATAACGACTGTTGTCGTAAATAAAATACATACTCATATGCACAAGATTTTGTGGGGTACCGAAATAAATGGATAGTATATCTATTATGTAGTCTGATAATTAGGTGACTATAAAGATCCATGTCATGCTGAAGGGCAGTCTATAAATAAATGTCTAATAAGGCTGTGTTTTTCTAATAATTGGTCATTATGAGGTGTTCGCATACTCACAACACTATAGAAGTGAAATAACCTGCCAACATGAGTATGATATCGGCATTATTTACTACCTAGAAAGCACTTATAGATTGGTGATCAACCCATTTTTCCAAAAAGCAGGATCATCATACAGTATTAAACTGATTGAGGCTTTTACTCTGTGTTATTTTAACATTATCTGTCATCGACTGACATGTGTTTCAACATATAACTTTGCACAGAAGTGCAGCCGTTCAAGTGGCTATACTCTAAGTAACACACATAAGTAGAGAAAAAATGAGGGCTCAGTGGATATGTGAGGTCACAAGGAGTGAATGCATCTGCACCACTGAGAACGACTTTGAACTATATCGCTAACAATCTCAAGCCGTTGGTTCTTAGCATCTCGAGGACTGCAACCGGGCAGTCTACACCTAACCACATGGCTCGAACCAACTATCAAAGACTTCATGGATTAATTCCAGGTTCTGATTTGACTACCCCTAACTCTTTTCCAACTTACCTGCTGTGTCAGGTAACATTGCAGACCAGGAGGAGTGATAGGATCTGGCATAAAGTAGTATATCATCATTTTTCACGCATATTGTGATCGATTGTGCGACCAATCATTTCTCCCGACTGTGAGGCTGACTTTACTGTTTTAAAGAAAATGTATAAATACCATGTTTCATTTTCTTAATAGATATACGAATACAGTACAGTATCTTACAGTCGCAGGCCAGCCTTTGTCTTTTAATATTTGCGTGGCTCAGTGAATCGGAAGGTACAACGGGCAAAAGGTATATTAGGGTACCAGTCGAGTTCATTACCGTTATTACCATTTAGCAGGTGCAGACATAACAAGGTGACTACGGTTCTCATTCAGTTCAGTGCAGTTATAACAAGGAGGGTTTATTGATCATTTTTTCACCTATCGAAAGATTCTGAAACATAGGCATACTTACCAGTGCCCAACACTTGCCATTTTCTTCACTTGAAGGCGGAATTCCACTGCGTCGACCGAGAGTTACTGTGGAAATATCTGGCTGTAAAGGGAGTGCCGAGAAAATATGTTGCACTAATTAAGGCGCTCTACTCGAACTCACGCAGTCGTGTAAGAGATTACGCACAGTTACCATCTGAAGTCAGGACAACCAATGGTGTTTGTCAAGCCTTGCCCATTTCTGTTTAATTTCATTATAAATGTACTAGGGGGATTGACCCTAACTAACTTTGGTGACTTAGGGTGATATAAATGAACATAGGTAACAGTAAAATATGTGACCCTGATAAATCTATTAACATTAAATAACGAAACATCAGTAAAAACGCCTTCGTTTTGTTCTTTATTCACTAAAAATACAAATTTTTTATATTAGTAGTGTATTGGCGTCTATTCAAAACCAAAGGTGAAGCAGACTTACCCATTTCTTAGTCAATAACAAATTTACAATAATATCCAAGTCAATTTAAGAGTAGCATTTGGGTATCACAGTTCGGTGGTTCAGTGGTAGAACGCTCGCCAACCAGACACGTGGTCCGGGGATCGATCCTCGGCCAACTCACTCCTATACCACACTAAGCCGGTACCGGTGGGGAGGGAAGGTTGGGTATGAGACTAGCACTGACCAACCGACTGGTTTCAAAGTGGAACTTTGCGCAGATGTGCAGCAGTTCAAGTGCCCACATTCCGTGTAGCTTGCTTCCGTTTAATCGTTGTTGGGGTGGGCTTAAGTGAATGACCACACTCAGGTCTTGTATGCGTGTCTCCGAAACACAATTTTCTTTTCTAATCCCCCGTCTCCAGAGTTGAGAGACAGCATAGCTGGCCATCTGAGGGAAAGACCTTACTGCTATTACATCCCTATTCCCCAGCAGTACGACTTCGTTCACAGACTCCCACCATAGTGTAAAAAAACTTACACTATGCCGGCAACTGCTTTTAGTCGAATCGCTATCCTAAAAATCTTCCTGGCATGGTGGGACCTGCAAGAACATTAGTTCCAGCCGGTGTAGTTTGCTGGGCCACTGCGATATGCAAGCCCAACCACCGCGTCAAGGTAGCAGCTATCGGTTGGGGCGAGACCAGCAACCCCACCCGCAGAAGTAAAAACACTGCTACCGAAACTTCAAAGCTCTAGCTTGAGGCCCTATATTCCACTCGGAAGGTCTAGGAATAAAGAAAAATTTGGGCCTTATGGTATAATATCATTCCTTAATAGATGTTTATTCAACATAATATACAGTAATACAACGTTAATATTCGGATGATGTCTCTAACACAATTTAATGCTGCTCATAATCATATCAATGTATTCACACAACTTAATAACTTTCTTTGGATAGCCTACTCCCTCCTGTTTTTTTATTGTAATTTTTCAAATATCCGGTATAGGCGCTGTGTGATTTTGATTCCACAGGTTGTTTTATGTTGATTCGGTGTATAACCTCTCTGCCTAACTATATTACTTTTAAATACTTTCACATTATCCTACCCTATAGTGTGTTCACGTGCAAATGAATGCATTGTAATGATTGGCCTTTTTTTCTAGATTACCTAACTTAACAGGGTCTGTCATTCTAGCTCTAGCTAAATTCCTGTGTCCCGATAACCGAATTAACCCGTATCTACTAGGTTGACCTATGTAATTGACTTCATAGTCATTAAATGGTATTTCGTAAATTATATTATCTATGGGGTCCTTCAATCGACGAAGTTTGTCTATGGTTGAGTTAGTTGGTTTAAATGCCATTCTAGTTCCATCTTTATTAAGAATCCTACGTAGGGACTCGGATATTCCTTCTTTATATGGCATTATTATAGAGGCGTTGGATTCCATATTATTTTCATCACTACTTTTATTTCTATAGATATTCATACAATTCTGAATAAATTCTGGTGGGTAGTTTTATTCACTGGTAATGTTTTCTTTATTTGCTTGATTTCACCATTTATATCTCTTGACTTACTAGTTAGTATTCTGGCCTGAACACATAAACATTTAACTAAACCCACCTTTACCGATTCCGTATGGGCTGAATTAACATTTAAGTATTGATTACAATATATCCGTTTTGCTGAAGACGCTCGTATCTAACCCACTATCTTCTTTTCGATTTATTTTACAGTTTAGGATAGCTATTTTCTAACTCAAGAGTGATTTGAATTCTATCTACTACTGAATTTATGTGTCTGAAGAACTTAGAAATATGTTCAAATTTCAACATGGTGAATGTGTAATCTCTTCACTACCACCCCTATTTTACGTTCGAGAAATAAGGATAAACTACCTAATTTTGCCTCCTCCATGTGTATCTACCAGTTTGACTACAGCTACATTGGGCGTACAATTAGACAGGTTCATCATCGTATTTCCGAACATCATCCAGCATGGTTAAGCAAGGGACAAACAAGATCTATTCGTAGCTCTATTTTAGCACACCTTGTAGATATTGAGCATAAAGTTGATGTTAATACAGCATTTAAAATTATCTATCGCATTCCTACTGATCTTAATTTTGCTCTACGAGTTCATCTTCTACATACAGCTGAAGCCATAGGAATCCACCTGTGGAAGAAGCCAAACCTGTGTGTTCAGAAGAAACTTGTACAGCTACTTTCCTTACCTTGGCCATCGTTAAATGAATGTATAAACCGGACTACTTCGCCCCAAAACCTTTAAAATTATAATTGTCCTAAATTATTTTTCTAATTACTTCATCTTTATTTTGATTGGACACTAGTAACTAGTGTGATGTGTCTAATCCTTTCTTTAGTACAGACTGAATTCTATCAATCAGGTTTGTAATGTGGCCACCAATCTAGGTAGCTCGCCATCACGGTGCACATTGATTTGATGATATTAGATGGTTGGAGGCAATCGGCAGGAAGCCTTGGACCTAGGTTTCGAATCTCAGAAGAGACATAAGTTCCTTCAAGGTTGCAGACACGCCTTGCTGACGAGTGCCAACTAGCACGAAACCTAGGTCCAAGGCTTCCTGCCGATTGCCTCCAACCATCTAATATTTCATCTTTAATTACATGTTATCATTGTTGTAATCATTTCTACCCTTTAATTGTTTGAATTATCTATCTTGGTTATTATCAAGTCCCGTGACATGTTGATATTGATTAATTATTGTTAACATATATATATATATATATATATATATATATATATATATATTAGAGTAGAGCCAGATATGAGGATCTAATTGAAAAGTAAATTTAGACAAAGCAATAAGAAGACGTAATTTGTCTGAATCGTGTAATATATTTGCGCAACACATTTCGAACAATCTGATCACACACAGACTTGTCATAGGAATATATATGAAATTAATAAAGACTATATGGGGGATCATAGCAGCTTGAAAACTAGACGAAGACTGAACGCTGCTGTTAAAAAGAATTTTTAAGCAGCCAATATCATAATAGTTGAGAATGTGAAACCCATATATCTATCTAAGCCCTTAGAAGATGCGAAAAATGATGTCACATCCCACTGTAATTACCAATTTGAATGTGCGTGTGGCCACACATACACAGGGGGAGGACTCATCGATCTCTGAAAGGGCTTCAAAGCATATTCCTAAATGGCTCCAGAAGCAAAAAGAATCCCCAGAACCCAATAATGGTGAGAACAGGAGACCTAACTCCTCTATTGCGAAACATATTATAGAGACAGGACATAAAATTGATGTTTACACATCTTTTAAACCTATCCATAAAACGTGTTTGGGGCGTATCTTAAAGTTTGTGAAAGCCTTAGCAATTAGAAAATGTAAACCACCTTTATACGTTCGAAAACAATTTGTCATCACACTAAACCTTCCTTGCTAAAATTTGTTTTCATACCAGCTAGGGTTGATGTACTACTTTCCCTTCTTTGGTTTAGTGATCTTCATTGTTATTTTGACCTTCAATATGTCCTTTTAACTTGACCTAAGTTTATTTTCTCACCTGCTGACTCTTTATTAATTTCACATATATATTCCTATGACAAGTCAGATTGCTCGAAATATATTGCGTAAATACATTACACAATCCAGACAAATTACGTCTTCTTATTGCCTCGTCTAAATTCATAAAGGGAACTAATTTTAAATTAAATCCTAAATTTGACAAGTAAATATTTTTTTTACTCAATCCTTGTGCTTTCTAATCCACATATCTTCACCATAACCTAGGAGCAGGATTATATGTTCTAAAGGACTTAATTTCCCAACTATTCACATAAATATGTCTGCTGCTTCATTGACGGCACGCTTTACAGGCAAGTGGACGGGGTGGCGATGGGCTCCCCATTGGGTCCCATTCTGGCTGATTTCTTTCTAAGTAAGCTAGAAAATGGACCTCTGAACAACCTTATCAGTCAGCTCTCATTTTATTGCCAATATATGGATGACACCTTCATTCTTTGTGATAATGATTCGGATAGGAGTACAATAATTACTGAATTCAATGAAGTACATTCGGCTATGAAATTCACGTGCAAAGAGGAATCCCAAAACAGAATTGCCTTCCTGGATGTCCTCCTTACATGAAAACCAGATGGTAGGATAAAAATAAATTTGCATAGAAAAAGTACTTGGACAGGACAATATACACATTTTCACAGCTTCGTTCCTATCAATTACAAAATAAATTTAGTAAAGACCCTCAGCCACAGAGTTAGAGCTATATGCTCAGAAGTAATTGAAGATGAATTAAGCATTGTATATGATACTTTGATCGAAAATGGCTATCCTGACAAATTTATCAAGAAACACATGACAAAGAAAACGGAAAAGGACTACTCACTGTCTGTAAACAAGAAGCCTTTATATATACGACTACAATTCATGGGCGATATACCAAGTGAGATAATTACGAAGAAATTAAGAAAATCAGTTCAAAGAACTTTTAATGCTGGCGAACAACACGCATTATTCTCTACACGACCGATGGTGCTACCTCGACTGAAAGATGAAGTACCTAGACTAGCCACTTCAAATTGTATCTATCAATTCAACTGCGCTTGTGGAGCGAGTTATATCGACCATTACTCTAGGAACTTGACTTTTCGTGCTCGAGAACATCTCCCAATATGGCTAAGTAAAGGCGTAGTAGACACCATTAACACCTCGATATTGGACCATCTGGTGCAAACCGAACACAAAGCCAACGTTGAAGAATCCTTCTCTATCATCTACCGGGTGCCTAACAAATTATCAAAATCACCGAAGCACCACATGCTCCAAACGGCACAGGCTATTGCAATTCGTCTCAAAGCACCAGTACTCTGTGTGCAAAAGAAGCAAGTCCAGCCACTTCTACAGCCCTGGCCCTCAGTAGAAACTATAAACTCATGAATTTGTAATACTACATTTCCTAATTCTTCTGACATTCAGTTTATTTTATGTTGATGCTATTCAGCTGTAATCTATCAATATTATTGATTCGATGTCATTTAAACAACATTAATGTTGTTCATAACACTAATTCAGTCATTCACTATAATGTGTATATATAACTGTAGAGCCTGATGATGAATTTATCGAAAAGAATACTCTTTGTTCAGTAACCATTCTTTTGAAAATAAGAATTTCTTCATAACAATGGTAATTATTATTATTATCATTACTATATTTAGTGTTTATTCAAAACCAAAGCTTAAGTATACACAACCAATTCTTAGTTAAATAACAAATTTACAATAATATACAAGTCATGAAAGAGTTTGGTCAAATAATAAGAGGTGAACATTCCCAATTCTCCCCACCCCACCCCCTCCACACACACACACACACACAGTTTGATTTATCCTCCATATATGCCGTATACAGCCATATCCACATTAACGACGATAACGGAATCGTTTAAAATGAAACCATAATTGAAAGATATTATTTTGAAATTGACATCGAAATCCATGCTTGTAGGAGTATTCCCATTCACGATTAACAATTTTAAAGGCAATATCTTCATATGGTGGACCAGCAATAAAACGGAGAATAGCAAAATCTTTTTCCGATTCACATGCTGTCAATGTATACGTTGGTGTTTTTGTCTTATCAATTAAATCTGGATAGAAAACATTGAATTTATAGCCTTGAACAATTTTTGGCGGTGGATTGTCCAAGTCGTAATGTGTTTGATTATACTTATTCCATACAAATCCTGTGTGAACACGATTAAAGAATCTTGGTTTCCGTGGTCTATACTTATCTGACCATAGAAATGATTGATCTTCAACTGGTATCTGGTTATACAAAAAAAAGAAAGAAAGAAAAGAGATTGAATCAAAGGGAAAATATATACACATTGTAGCACTCCAGAGTTGAAAAGAATGCATGAAAAATACCTACAAACGGTCTTCAAAAAGAATGGTTATCCACAAAATTTCATCAAAAAGTGTTTGAAGTCGAATCAAAACACATTAACAAGAAACCATCATCAAAGACCACAAGAAAATTCATTCTACCATACATGAGAAATATCTCTGAAATAACAGCTAGAATACTGAAACCGTTTGATATAGATATTAGCACACAAGCCAGTCAAATCGCTTAATTCGATATTATGCAACCAAAGATCCAACAGAAAAAGGGGATAAAATTAATACCATTTACAAAATAAATTGTATGAACTGCGACAAGCATTACATCGGCCAAAGTGGGCGTCCCCTTCGAATCAGAATCCAAGAACACAAATCAGCCGTGAAAAGACACGATATGTATTCTTTAGTATCAATGCATATAGACAATTATGGTCATCAATTTGATTTGGGATAATGTCAAAATCTTAGACAGAGGAAACACTAAAAGTGCCAGGGAATTCCTAGAAGCCTGGTACTCAAACGAAAATGCAATTAACAAGCACGTTAATATAGACGAAATATACCAACTAATAAAAAGTAAATCAGGTGACCAGAAAGTTTAAAATACAAGTCAATAGAAAATGGTCAATACATATGTAAAGATAGTTACCAGGAGATGCAATTATATCACTCATGAAGAAATTTAAATCATTTCACTTTGTGCTAAATATGGCACTGAAGATGTTGTCCAGAAGGACGACGAAAGCTTCGCAACTAAACTAACCAGCTCAGAGAACACTATTAATTGCAAAATATATACATGCCAAGTCATTTGTTTAGTAGTTACATGTGCTGAAGATAACATGTTTTTTTATTTGAGAATATTAGAAAACATCAGTCACCCTTAGTGAACTCATTTTTGCCATGTGTCAGAGATAAAGGGCAGTGAAACTATCAGAACAACGTGAACTGTACACATTCCATACTAACAACCAGTGCACACACTTGTTTCCTAGAATACAGTCATGGTAGAGGAAAATTTACTTGGTACAAAACTATAATACAGCGTTATTAGTAGACGAACAGATCGCTGTTCGTTAACCCTGAGACTGGATGGAAAAAGCGGAAAGGTGGTCAGTGTATGACGTGGCACTGTAGGAGTGAGCTTTATTTGTGTTAGGTTAGCGCACAAGTTGGTACATTACGACTTCCTGGGTAGCGTCCGATAGATAATTCGAATCGATGGTTCGAAACGTTAGAAGATATGGCCAAGAATCGTAATCAGTGGCGAACATGCTGCAAATTCCTTATTTCTTCCCTTTATATAAAAGTAACATGAAGTGATCAGTGTTGAGTGAACTTGTAACTATGCTTGCTTGCTTTCTGGATGACTTTCCTCATTTATTCTATGCCTCTTTTCTTTATATATTGCTTTATTATTATTATTTTTTGTGGTGCATCTCTCTCTCGGTGCTCACAATGAACCAAGTTTGTGCTTAAGTGAAGAAATGTGATGTATTTGCCGAGAACACAAGGGAGAAGCTTAATTTTACGGATAGCTATCGTCTCAGTGTGTTTTTAGTAAAGCTCCCTTGACTGACTGGTTTCAACACAAAACTTTGCACAGATGTGCAAGAGAAGGGAGATAATAAACAGGAGTGTGAGGGGAAAAGAAGAATATTAATATGTTAGAACAATAGAGTTTTATTGGATATCCACAAAGAGTGACTGTTTTTGTAGATAATCTTGAAAGCCGTTTTGATATAATACCTTGTGATTCATATCAATTGAGTATTTGGCTATAGACGAAATTGATAGTCCGCTAACTGCGTTTATCAAGGTTTCACAGATCATTCATTTATCTAGCCATTTGGACATATATTCTCCCACCCTCACGTACAAAGCGCAATTACTCCACCCTAAGTATATGTGACCACACACACATACACGCATGTTAATTGGTTTGTAGTATGGGATGTGACAACGATCACTTGTGCAACGTTGAGGCTTATAGTAGATCATATTTTTCGCTTTTCTGATAATTATAAGCCGGGCTGCAGAGTAAGTTTTTCAAATGACAGAATTTAGTCTCTGCCTTAGAATCGTATTATTGATTTCCTCATTGTAAGGTAGGTAATATGATGTAGACAACTTTCTTTGGGATGAAAAAGACAGTAGGTCTTCAGTCTAACTGATTTCCACACCATCTCATTGACTTAGAATATGCAGATGATATAGTTCTTTTAGGTGAAGACGCTGACAAAATACAGAGTCTCCTGAACACCTTGAGCTGCAATCTGCGAATGTTTGGCATGCGATTCGCTTCCGCCAAATGTAAGATGATGCTACAGGACTGGACTACACTGACGCCTAGCTTAAAAATAGAAAGTGAAGTGATAGAGCACGTTGACCACTTCACTTATTTGGAAAGTAGCATCAGCCCCAACGGGTTGATCGCTGACGAAATCTCAGCATGGATACAGAAAGCTAGTTTCGCATATGCCAGTTTACGCCGTCTCTGGCGTAGACGTGATATCCGGCTATCGACCAAAGGGCGGGTGTACTGCTCAGCAGTCCGCTCCGTCCTCCTTTATGGCTGTGAGACCTGGCCATTTAGAATGGAAGACATGAAAAGACTAGCTGTCTTTGATCATAGGTGCCTGCGTTCTATCTCCCATGTGAAGTGGCATAATATGATGAGCAATATTGAGGTTAGGTCGAGTGCTAGGTAAGGAGGGGAAATCAACAAACGAGACTGTGAATTTACATTGACTGAGATGGTTAGGACATGTGTTACGCAAACCTAGCCATCGCCTTCCTTGACGGGCAATGTTAGCTGACATAGGGTCAGGTTGGAAAAAAGCCAGTGGTGGTCAAACCAAAACATGGCATCAGTCAATGAAATCCACAACAGTTAGTTTAAGCCACGTAGGAAGGTGTAGACTTCCTGGTTGGGGTCCTCGGGATGGTTAACACCAATGGCTGGAGACAATTGGTGATATGGCTCAAAATCGTCCTCAATAGCTGGCGCAAATGAATCCACTCATTGTAACTTATAATTTCCAATAAAACTATATTGTTCTTCGATATTACCATTCTTTTTGCCTCATATTTCTGCTTACTGTCTCTATTTTGCATTTCTTTTTACCTTCTTCTCTGGCTATATGTGCTGAGTGAAGTGTGGCGACTCGAACTGCTGCACACCGGTGCAAAGTTCTATGTTGAAACCAGTTAGTCAGTCAGTCAGATTTCCACACCGGTTCAAAACTTCAAGGAATGTCCATTCTTATCATCTATAGTATCAACTGTATAAATACGCTGTTTAGGTCAACTGGCCATTGATTTTTTCATATATATTGATTTGACAAGTAAGTATATTATTAGACTGTTCGGAATGTGCTGCGCAAATATATCACGCGTTTTTTTTGTGCATATAAACTACGTCTTCTAGTAATGCTATCCAAAAAAATTTATTGGATGAACTGATTGTTTTAAATTTTTGTAACATATTTGTACACTTAAATATTATTCAAGGTGATCACACACACCATAAACTTGAATGATACAACTCAGTCAGCACTAATCACGTGAGAGCACACAACAATGGCTAAACCTTCTCCAGTCAGCGACCAATGTCTATCTGTCTGTCTGTTTTCGACATAGAACTTCGCACATATGTACGGCAGTTCAAGTTGCCACACTCCACTCCATGTAGCACACAAAGCAAGAGAAGAAAGTAGGAGAAATGCATATTAGAGACAGTAAACAGAGGTGTGAGACAAAGGAATAGTAATAACGAAGAACAAAACAGTTTAATTGGAAATCATAAGTCACAAGGAGTGGATGCATTTTCGCCAGCCATTGAGAACGATTTTGAGCCATATCACCAATTGTCTCCAGCCATTGGTGTTTACCGTCCCGAGGACCCAACCTATTAGGAAGTCTACACCTTCCTAAGTGGCTTAAACTAACTGTTGTAGATTTCATTGACTGATGAAGTCATGTTTTGTTTAAACCACCACTGGCTCTTATCCAGTCTGACCCCACATCAGTTAACATTGCCCGTTGATCGAGGAAGGCGATGACTAGGCATACGTAACACATGTCCTAACCATCTCAATCGCCCTTTGGTCGATTGTCATATATCACGTCTACGCCAGAGACGGCGCAAACTGGCATATGCGAAACTAGCCTTCCATATACATGCTGAGATTTCGTCAGCGATCAACCCATTGGGGCTGATGGTACTTCCCAAAAAAGTGAAGTGGTCAACGTACTCTACCACTTCACTTTCTTTTTCTAAACTAGGAGTCAGTGTAGTCCATTCCTGTAACATCATCTTACATTTGGAGGGAGCGAATCGCATGCCAATTATTCGTAGATTTCAGCTCAAAGTGTTCAGGAGACTCTGCATTTTGTCAGCGTCTTCACCTAGAAGGACTATATCATCTGCATATTCTAAGTCAACGAGATTATTCTCTGGTAGCAAGTCAATCCCTGAGTCGCTGAAGTGAGTTAGGGTTAAGTCCATTAGTACATCTGTGATGAAGCGACCAATGAATACATTACAGTCCTAAAAGTCAATTGCACCATGGATAACTCAATGGTATTGTCTATAACTGTAGTACTGGGGGGGGAACTGATTCGAACCTCAATTCCTTCGAGGTTGCAGATACGTCATAGTTACGTGTACTAACCAAGCACGAAACGTAGATAGGTGTCCAGAGAGTACTGCGGATCACTTTCAACTTTCTAACAGAAACAAATTCTGTGGATGAAATTTGGTATTCCTCGAAAAGAAATCTTTCATTCTAAGCCTTTTCATCAATGGATTTCTGCATTATTTAAGTCGTCACTTACCCATTTATTGCGTGTTGTAGCTGTGCGAACAACCAAATGGTCAAAACACTCATTCAGAATCAATCAACCAGTTTCTTTGCCATGTTAGTTATCATTTATGGTTTTCATTTCATCCAGACAAAAACTGGTTTTTGCCTGCTTGAATCACTGGATTACCTGAATTTACACCCAACACAGTATTATATGATTATTATTGTTTCCTTTAATTCCTAGAGGAAAATAGGGCTTCAGCCGTGCGTCTCCATTGAGTTCGGTTCTCTGCTACAGTCTTCACCTGGCTCCAAGTCTGCCCACACGTTTTCATCTCCTCTTCACATGACCTCCTCCAAGTCACCCTTGCACTGACGACCAACTCGCCGCTTCCCTTTCAGGTTCCACTCGAGGGCTTGTCTAGTGATGTCACTTGATGGTTTCCTAAGAGTATGGCCAATCCATCTCCATTTCTTCCTCCCTATTTGTTTCACAATCGGTTCCTGCTGAGTTGGTTCGCTCCCAGAGATCCCTCTCTGTTGCTGATCTTTTCTGGCCGGCCATCTGATCTTGAGTATTGAGCGAAGACAACTGTTAATGAAGATCTGTAGTTTGTTTGAGATGTTCTTTATGACGCGCAGTACAAGTCTCTGATCCGTATAGTAGCACTGACTAACTTCACATTGGAGTTGAAAATCCAGATCTTATTTTTCATGCTGAGTGCTGTTGACCTCCACACAGACTTGAGAGTAGTGAAAGTTTGTCTTGCTTTTCCGATTCTTGCTTTGATATCCTCGTCAGTTCCGTCTGCTTGTAGTTGAAACGATGCTTCCCAGGTAGGTAAAAGAGGTTGTTTCTTTCAGGTTCCTTCCATTTATGCTGATTGTTGTCTGCTGTTGTTGTTGCATCATATTTTCTCTAATTTTTGTTGTCATAACCATTCAATTATATCAGTGAGTCGCAGCAAGATGTGCTTGCGTACATTTTCAATTGACTTTTAAACTACCAGTGAGCATTTCGTGGAGACAAAGGAGTAAGTATCATGAAGGATGAGTCTATGCTTCAGATCTAACAGCATTTCGTCACGTGATACACTAAAGACTCTTGTTTTACTTTAAGATCCTGGATGAAGAGGAAATACTGTGCAATAAATTACGCCGAGAATTCTCTACACCGTGTAAACATTTATTTTTAATTTATTGTAGTTCCGTAGTTTTGTACCGACAAATACTGAATTTTGCTAACGAATTGACTGCAGCTGGATGACCACAAAAATTCTAGGAAGCACTGAACAGTCACTTTGTCCTTATTTGGGACTCTTAATCAGTATGATGATCGGACCCAGGACCTTCAGGCTACAAGGTGAGCTCACAAACCATTCATTGAGTCAAAGAGGTGGAACGCGATAGCCCATCGATTCTGCATCTGCCGATTTTCAATATGCAGCGCGACCACTAGCCAATATCTTCGATGGTTCTCTAACTAAAATCAATTCGTGGTCAAGGCTGAACCATGATGTTGACCATCTGATTTCTACAGATCTCACAGATAGGCCGACGAATTTAAAAAACGATGAATCTTGGAAACGCCTAACAAAAGAGAAATTTTAGCAATCTAGAAATAACACCGTAGGATATGCAAGCAGACAAGCCCTTAACGTCAAGCATCACTTTATCAATGTGTAAGACAATCCACCTGTAGCTGTATGGCTTATCATTTATCAACTTTTGCACATTTACCTACCCTAAAAAATGAAGGCCATCGGAAATTCGCATGCTTCACTTGTTCACGTGTACGTCGGTGGCATAGCGACTAGGACGCTCGCCGACCATGCACATGGTCCGGGGTTCGATTCCCCGCCGATTCACTCCTTTACCTCGCTAAGCCAGAAATAATGCTGGTGATGAGGAAAGGTTGGGCATGAGGCTAGCAACCCCATCCTGTAAAAATAAACACTGCTACAGAAACTTCAAGCCTCTAGCTTGAAGCCCTATGTTCCACTGGGAACGTGACGGAATTACATTACATTACTTGTTCACGTGAATAGGAAATTTTTCTTCGGGTCGTTTTATCGAAATTTCATACTCTTAAATTTCAATTCTTACCGTAACTGAGAACTGTGCATCTTCTCCATCCTCCATGCCTTCTCGAGCTCGTCTGATAAGCTCATCTTCTTCATTTGCCTGCATTGTTCCTGTGCGCAGAACTTCTTGACGCTATGTGAAGAGATGAAAAATATGGATTATAAACAACTAAATGACAAGTATATTTATCATGCATTATATGCTGTTGTGGCTAAAAAATACTATGATACTACTATAAAAAGCAGTACAGGAATGTAACTCAATTAAATATGACTGCTTTCCAATCAGTCGATCCGAGTTCGACTCCTGACAGTCACAAGTGGTTTGCGTAGGAGATTCAGTGGTAGAATACCAACCAACTATCTACGTGACCCGGATTCGATTTTCGGCTATACGGCAATGCCACATGTCAGGTACTCCACAACGGATAACTCAGCGAGGCGTTCGAAGTGCATACAGGAGTAAAAGAAGGCTGCTTGTCTATTATCAACGATGATATTCTTAATTGTGGTGGACTGGATTATGCGTCAGACTGTGCGATGGGAGTGAGAAAACAGGAATGCGCTAGACCATCGATAAGAAAACTCTAGAAGATCTGGATTTCGCGTATGAATGATTCATCTTTGGTGTCACACAAACTCGACGACTTCCAGGCGAAAACCAACAAACTGACTCAAAAGGTTGGCAGCAAAGACAGGACTCAAGGTGAACATAAAGAAGACGAAGGTGATCAAGATAACCAACCACAACCAAAAGTAACAACAACCAGCGCCAGTCACCATCAGCGGGAAAGATTTGACAGAGTTTACTTCCTGGCTTCACTTATCTAGGAAGCATAGATTCAACCACAAACAGTCGGAACAGATGAAGACGTCAAAACCAGTCAGAATCAGAAGGACAAGATACGCCTCGATCAACCTGAAACCAGTTTGGAAATCCTCTGCACTCCACAGCATCACGAACAAGATTCGGATTTTCAACACCGAAGTTGAGTCAGTCACTCAGTTCTTCTATACGGGTCAGAAACTTGCACTGCGTGTCACAGAAAGGATTTCCAACAGGCCACATAAGACTTTTATTAACAGCTGCCTTAGCTGGCTCCACAATGAAGATCAAGTGGCCAGAAAGAATTAGCAACAAGAAACTCTGGCAAAAAGCCAACCAAAATCCGATTGCTCAACAAATATGTAGGAGAAAATGGAGATGGATTGGGCACACATTGACGAGGCCATCAAATGAAATTCCGCTCAATGTAGGCCATCACTCGAGTGGAATCCAAACAGGAAATGAAGAGTGGGTCGTCAGTTCGAGGGTGACATGGAGCAGGTCGTGTCGTGAGGAGGAGATGAGAGATTATGGCCAATCGTGGACCAAGCTGAAGAGGACAGCAGAGAGCAGAACAAAGTAGGGATGTGTTGTTGTAGCCCTTTGTTCCACTAGGAACACGGAGTTAAAGAAAATACAAAGCGATGTATGACTCCTGTAAAAAATTCTCAGTCACAGATACTAACAATCGTAAGTCTGAGAAAGAGGAAAAATTGGACGCAAGGCTAGCAACCCTACCATGAAAAAAATAGCAACACAGTTACTGAAACTTCAAGGCTCTAAATCTAAAGTCCTATGTTCCACTCAGAATGCAAAGGAATGAAAAGCAACCCATAATTGGTTACAAGATTTCATCATGAGCTGACATTGGTTAGAGAACCATTGGAAAACCAACTGGGAGCACTGAACAGTTGTTTCGTCCTAGTTTAGGACTCCTCACTGTGCGCACCCAAATGGGTTCGAAACCAAGGACCTTCTGATTACAAGGCGAGCTCGTAGACCATTAACAGTCCCAAACTAGGACGAAACAGCTGTTCAGTACTCCCAGTTGGTTTTCCAATGGTTCTCTAACCAATATCAGCTCATAATGAAATTCTGTAACCAGTCAATCAAATCCCTACAGACCAATACTTGAGCAAGCTATAATTCTCAACAATAAAGTCTGTTAATGAAAGGGAATAGTGCGTCGGTGGTTCAGCGGTAGAACGCTAGCCAACCACGCACTTGGTCTGCGGTTTAATCCCCAGCCGATCCACTTCTAAACCACTTAGCCGGCAGTAAGGCCGATGAACAGAGAAGTTTGGGTGTAAGGCTAGCAACTTCACCCCGCAAAAACAAAACCACTGCTACTCAATTTTTAAGGCACTAGCTTGCAGTCCTATTTTGCAATCAGAACGTAAAGGAATAAAAAAGTAAAAGAGAATGATATTTGTATCATACACTGACGATATTCTCAACACTTGATAAAAAAAAATCACAAGTTCATATGAAAAAGAAATAAATATATTACTAACCTGATATTCAATTTTAGCTTCATCATCTTCAGGATTATATATAACAGCATCCAGTTCCAAGTCATCAGGATTAATTCGTGGTGGTGAGTAAAGAGAGGCATCATAGGCTTCTTCTTCAACTAAAGCAGCGGCTTGAAGTTCAGCTGCTCTAGCAGCTCTTATAGCCTCAACACTATGTGCATCTTCAATTGCATTAGTAGAGATTGGATTACCCTGAATTTAAAATGTTTGAAAAGAAAATAACAGAAGAAAGGTAGAATGGAATTAAATATGAGTCAAGAGTTTGATATATATATATATATATACGCTTTACTTCCACACAATATCATTCTATGAGCAGAAGTCTTAGTATGTTTGACATGCGATTTGCCCGCCTCAAGTGTAAGATGATGCTGCAGGACTGGTCTCCACTGATTCCCAGTTTAAAAATAGGAAGTGACATGGTTAAGTGTGTTGACCACTTCATTTACTTGAGTTGTCTAAACCATAATGACCTGATTGACCATGAAATCTCAGCACGGAGGACATTGAAGGCACGTGCCTTATTTGCCAACTGACGCCATCTCTTGTGTAGACTTGATACTGAGCTATCGAACAAAGGACGTTTCTACTGAGCATCAGTTCGCTCTGTCCTCTCCTTTATGTCTGTGAGGCGCGGCCATTGAAAATGAAAAATATGAAAAGACTAGATGTCTTTGACCACATATGTTTGTGTTCTATCTCCCGTGTTAACTGGTATAATATGGTGATGTTAGGCGTGGAGTGTCAAGTAAGCAAAAGGAAGTCAATCAATGAGGTTGTGAGGTTACATCGATTGAGATAACTAGAACACGTGCTGCACATGTCAAACCACCACCCTCCTTATCGAACAATGTTAGATGACATGAAATTAGGTTGAAAAAGAGTTAAGCGTCATAAAATCAAAGCCTGGAATCAACCCATGAATTCGTTGATTGTTGGTTTGAACCACGTGGGGAGGTGTAGAGACCACATAGACGGGGTCCTCAAGGTGCTAAAAATCGATGGCTAGAGACTAATAGTGACATGGCTAAAATTCGTCCCCGGGTACATTTCCGAGCATTATAGTCCCCTTTACCTTTTTGTACTAAACTGAGTGTGGAAACTTGAATTGCTGCTGCTAAGTTCTACATTGGAACTCAGTCAGTTACACGATTTAAATCGATATTTAATGACATTAAGGATACGGTCTACAACAAAGCAAAGCTATAAACTTATTTAATGCTATAGTGCACAAAGAACACTATGATACACGAGGATACATTGTCAAACCGACGATTTAGTTATGCAAAGACAATGTCAGATGGATCATATGTAAGTAGACGTCGGCTGTGCAGGCAAAATTCTATGACGAATATTCCCAACCAAACCAATGGAATTTAATTGAATTTTAGATTTTCCCGTCGATTGATTGGACCGAAGTGCTCGGTCTCAGGTTGACAAGTCGGCTTCTTGTGCAGATGCTTCGACGATGTCTGGGCACTTCGGTCCAATCAATCGACGGGAAAATCTAAAATTCAATTAAATAATTAATATGACCCGTTGCACAAGAGATGGCTGTCGTGGCCCAAGTGGTCTAGTGGATAATGCTTTGGTGTTTGAAACTACGGGCAGTGGGTTCAATCCTCGGTGAGAACATCATCACTCACTGGGGAATGCAGGTACACTCAGGTGACGAGTCCCAAATAGGACGAAACGCGCATCCTGGATTCCACTGCTAGTCACCATACACCAATTAAAACCAATGGAATGCTAAGAACTGTTACGCTCTGAAAATAACAACTGTTAGACATTCTGGGTAGACAAAGGTCCTATAAGCGAGTAGTAGACTACCTAGGGAGGTTCCGATTAGTACATTTCTCATTAAACAATTTATTTGTGCACACCTACCAGACAAAAGGTGAAATAAGTGTGATAACACCACTGACGACGTTAACCACAATGAAGTCTTTCCCATATTACTAGGAAGTGAGAATACTTAAACAATTTTCACAAATTAATAAACATCACTATCAATATTTAACTCTCCTTACCTCGTTATTCAACTCAATAGGTGGTAAAGTAGGCGGTACCAAGTTGTCAGGATCCTCTTCCTCTGGAACAGGAGACGTTGTAGGCTCCACCTTTGGTTTCGTATCATTCGACTGTGTACCACTAGGAAATAAGGGTTCAGGTACAATGCCTTGTGCTTGACGTAAACATTCTAGTTTACGCCTTAAATTCTCCTGATGCATATCACGCAAACGTGTACGAGCCATTTGAGCACGAACAAATTGAGCCAAAGTTTCCCAATATGTGACATCGACACCTTCACCTCCACGAAGTTTTGGAGCGATCTGAAAGCAAGAAAATAACATGTAACTACGATTTTGTTTGGGTTAATTTTTGCCCGCATATTCTGAACGATTGGAGTACAGTAATCAACTACAACTAATCAATATACGAAATAATAATGCCTGAAAGTTAAAGGACAAAACGTGCATATATTCAGCTATTCTTTAATCTTAATTAAGTCGTCATAATAGACGGCTCGCCTAGATTACTAGGTCACTAGTATTCTAGCCGGTCCCAAGCCCGGATAAAGAGGGAGGGTTGGGGCGTGGTGCTAGCAACTCCACCCCCAAAACTTAACCAAATTGCTACTAAAACTTCAACGCACAAATATACTCAAAATTCTAAAATTACAAATAGTGACCTTATTTCTCACTGGAATCGGGGAAGTGAAATGACGCGGGCTGGTGAAAGCCTTCGGGAAGCCAGTCAGCCAATGTGCCTTCTTTCGATGAAAGCGAAAATAAGGATGGGGACGTGGAATGTTCGTACAATGTACGAAGCTGGGAAGGCTGCTCAGGTAGCCGCAGAAATGAGGAGATATAGAATAGAAGTGTTGGGAATCTGCGAGAGCAGATGGAACGGATGTGGAAGGAGCCAACTATCAACTGGAGAGACAATAATCTACTCCGGTCACCCAGAGGACAACCACGAGCACACCGAGGGAGTAGCCATCATGATGTCACCAACAGCGGCTAAAGCTCTCATGCAGTGGGAACCAATCTCCTCCAGGATAATGACAGCCAGGTTCAACTCAAAAGGAAAGAAGGTTACAATCGTCCAGTGCTACGCGCCTACAAACGCCTCAGAACATGAGAAGAAGGAGGATTTCTACAGTCAACTACAAACAGTAATGGACAACGTCCCAAAGAGCGATATCAAAATCCTGATGGGCGACATGAATGCGAAACTGGGAGGAGACAATACAGGAAGAGAACTCACCATGGGTCGTGAGGCCCTCGGTGAAATGAACGAAAATGGCGAACTCTTCTCAGACTTCTGCGCCTTCAATGATTTGGTGATTGGTGGCAGTGTGTTCAAACACAGGGATATACACAAGGCAACATGGATTTCACCAGATGGACACACCAAAAACCAGATAGACTTCATTTCAATCTCAAGGAAGTGGAGACGGAGCCTACTGGACACAAGATCGAGGAGAGGAGCAGATGTGGGTTCAGACCACTATCTAGTACAAGGGACTTTCAAGGTGAAGCTGAAAGCCTCGAGGATACCTGGGGATAGGCCACAATGCAAGTTCAACACGCAAAAACTGAAAGACACAACCACAAAGGACACTTTCACTGCAACTGTCAGAGCAAAGCAGGAAACACTACGTGGCACCACTGAGGAATCATCCGTGGAAGACCATTGGAACTCTCTGAAGGTAATTTTCAACGAAACGTGCTCAACGGTTTTAGGAAGAAAGAAGAAACAAGACAAAGAATGGCTCTCAACAGACACTTGGAAACTAATAGAGGAGAGGAGAAAGGTGAAAGAAAAAATGATTCAATGCAAAGATGGACAAGAGAAAGAGACGCTGAACTCAACTTACACAGCACTGGACAAAGAAGTGAAGAAGAGTGCCAGGAAGGACAAAAGACAATTCTACGACAACCTGGCTACTGAAGCTGAGAATGCAGCAGGCAAAAGGGACCTGAGGACACTATATCAGATAACCAAGTCTCTATCCGGGAAGAGATCAACACAAGTGAAACCTATAAAAGACAGCCAAGGGAACCCAATTACCAAAGAAGAAAGACAGATTAAACAATGGGTGGACCACTTCAAAGGACTCTTGAATCGACCACCACCTACAACCCGTCCAGTAATACCAACAACAGCACGTACACAACTGCAAGTTGACACCAATCCTCCAACGAAAACTGAAGTCATGAATGCAATCAAGCTTCTGAAAGCTGGAAAAGCAGCTGGACCAGATGGAATACCCCCGGAAGCACTGAAAGCGGACCCAGAAACGACGGCAGATATGCTGACTCCATTATTGCAAAAGATCTGGAAGGAGGGAAAGGTGCCTACTGACTGGAGGAAAGGTTACCTGGTGAAACTACCAAAGAAGGGCGACCTGGGACTCTGCAAGAACTGGCGAGGAATCATGCTCCTGTCGACGCCAAGTAAAATCCTGAGTCGCATCATCCTGGAGAGAATAAAGGACGCACTGGATACAGAACTCCGACCAGAACAAGCTGGATTCAGGAAAGGCAAATCATGTTCTGACCAAATTGCAACTCTACGCATTATCATCGAACAAAGCATGGAATGGCAATCAAATCTCTACCTCAACTTCATAGACTTTGAGAAGGCCTTCGACAGCGTTGACCGCGAAGTAATTTGGAAACTACTCGAGTACTACGGCGTACCCCAAATATTCATCAACCTTATTCAACAACTGTACGACAACGGCACATGTCAAGTGATCCACAACGGAAAACTCAGCCAGGCGTTTGGAGTAAACACAGGAGTCAGACAAGGGTGCTTATTATCACCAATGATATTCCTAATTGTGGTGGACTGGATTATGCGTCAGACAGTGGGAAACGAGAAGACAGGGATATCCTGGACCGACGTGAAGAACCTAGAAGACCTGGATTTCGCGCGTGGATGATTTATGTTTGATGTCAGACAAAATCGAAGACTTACAAGCGAAAACCGACAAACTGGTCGAAGAAGCAGCAAAGACAGGACTCCAGGTGAACATAGACAAGACGGAGGTCATGAAAATAACCAACCAACAACAACAGCAACATCCAGTGCCAATCACCATCAACGGGAGGGATTTGAAAGAGGTTACTTCTTTCACTTATCTAGGGAGCATTGTCTCAACCACAGGAGGAACCGACGAGGATGTCAAATCGAGAATCGGGAAGGCGAGAAACACATTCATCAACCTGAAACCAATCTGGAAATCTTCGTCACTCAGCATCAACAACAAAATACGGATTTTCAATACAAACGTCAAGTCAATTTTGCTTTACGGATCAGAAACTTGGCGGGTCACAAAGAATATTTCCAACAGCCTGTTGCAGACCTTTATCAACAACTGTCTTCGCTCCATACTGAAGATTAGATGGCCGGAAAGAATCACAAACAAGAAGCTATGGGAACAAACGAAACAGGAACCAATCGCTCAACAAATATGCAGGAGGAAGTGGAGATGGATTGGACACTCGCTGAGGAGGCCGTTGAGTGACATCGCGCGTCAGGCCATAGCTCGAGTGGAACCCGAAAGGGAAGCGGCGAGTGGGACGTCCAAGGGTGACATGGAGGAGATCGTGTGAGGAGGAGATGAAACAGTATGGAATAACATGGACGCAAGTGAAAAGTACAGCACAAGACAGAAGCAAGTGGAGACGTGCAGTTGAAGCCCTATGTTCCACTAGGAACCCAAGGGAACAATAATAATAATAATAATAGACGGAGCTGGTAGAAAACTACACATGTAAGTGTATGGCTGACAGCATAAATTATCAAAATCCAGGATACCAATGTACGAGATGATTGTAATACTCGAAAATGATTCCTGCAATACAGGAACAACTGTCATACCTGAAATTCAGCAAAACAGTAAAGTGCAATACTAGTACATACACTAATGGCTTTAACATTAATGTCAAGTCAGTGTATCTATATGGTTCAGTGACTTGCAACGAGCGTCACCTAAAACCTTTCCAACAGACTGCAACTGCCTCTGCTCGATACTGAAGATCAGATGGCTGGCTTGCCAGTATGTAGATAAGCAACAAGAAACTCTGGCAAAAAATCCACCAAGAATCTATCGCCCAACAAATATACATAAGGAAATGGAAATGAATTGGACATAGGTTGTGGAGATCAGGCCCTCGAGGAGGGATTCACATGGGAAACAACGAGCTGTCCATCCAATAGTGACATGGGAGAGATCCTGTAAGGAAGAGATTAGAGAATATGGGCAATCTCGGAGCCAACTAAAAAGTGACTGCAGAGAACAGGATGAAATGGAGATGTGTTGTTCCACTCGGAACCCAAGGGAATAATAATCACATTATAATGGTTTCAACTTATAGGAGTATACATGGAAGATACAATTTACTAAGAAGTGTCTGCATATCCTTTTAACACTGAGATAATCACAAGCATGTGCGACCGAAATATTCAAATAGTGGTATAAAGTTAAATGAAAATAATCGTCAAAGTAAAAACAACTGTCCATAATGATTAAGAATTTTAAACCTATTTCAAAAGCAAACAGAACTTAGGGTTTCGGAGGAGCATAGAGGACAACAATATTCCTTATAAGGAAGGGAAGTCAATCAATGGGGTTGTGGAACTACATCAATTAAGGTGGCTAGGACACGTGTTGCGCATGACGTGCCATAGCCTTCTTCAGTGATCAATTTTAGCCGATATTCGGTTAGGTTGGAAACTTGTTCATGTATACTTTCTTTACAGTAATGAATACTAATCAGGAAAAATGATGTCTAGACCATTAGTAATAACAGTCAGTTAACAAACTCACTAATCTATCCGGTCAATAATAGAATTTTAAACCGATACAATTGATTTTACCAATGGGTTTATGGCATACCCTAACAACAACGCTTATTCTAGCGTTGCTATGCACACGTAATGACACAAGTGACACATTATTTAGATATTTAAAAACACAATATGAATTGTAGACATTTTTTATGAAGTATTTATTTGGACGGCTTCACAGTTCTTGCTAGTCTGTGATGGTATATAGGCTACATGCTTCAAAGTTAAACATATAAAATTGAATGAAGATGCCAATAAAGAATTTAAAAGACTGATTAATGAACAAAGAATACTCTTTTTGATAAATTTGTCATCAGGTTCTACACTTATATGACATTATTAAGGAAGTATTGTTACTAACACATTAATACTTATTTAAATCACGTTAAATAAGTAGTATCGATTTGCGTTTGTTTGATGTCACACAAAATCGAAGACTTACAGGCGAAAACCGACAAACTGATCGAGGAAGCAGCAAAGACAGGACTCAAGGTGAACATAGACAAGACGGAGGTTATGAAAATAACCAACCAACAACAACAGCAACATCCAGTACCAATCACCATCAACGGGAGGGATTTGAAAGAGGTTACTTCTTTCACTTATCTAGGGAGCATTGTCTCAACTACAGGAGGAACCGACGAGGATGTCAAATCGAGAATCGGGAAGGCGAGAAACACATTCGTCAACCTGAAACCAATCTGGAAATCTTTGTCACTCAGCATCAACAACAAAATCCGGATTTTCAATACAAACGTCAAGTCAGTCAGTTCTTCTATACGGATCAGAAACTTGGCGGGTCACAAAGAATATTTCCAGCAGCCTGTTGCAGACCTTTATCAACAACTGTCTTCGCTCTATACTGAAGATCAGATGGCCGGAAAGAATCACAAACAAGAAACTATGGGAACAAACAAAACAAGAACCAATCGCTCAACAAATATGCAGGAGAAAGTGGAGATGGATTGGACACTCGCTGAGGAGGCCGCTGGGTGACATTGCGCCTCAGGCCCTCGAGTGGAACCCGAAAGGGAAGTGGCGAGTGGGACGTCCAAGGGTGACATGGAGGAGATCGTGTGAAGAGGAATTGAAACAGTATGGATTAACATGGACGCAGGTGAAAAGTACAGCAGAAGACAGAAACAAGTGGAGACGTGTAGTTGAAGCCCTATGTTCCACTAGGAACCCAAAGGAACAATAATAATAATCAATTTGCGTCTGTGGCTCAGTGGTAGAACGCCCTCCAACCACGCCACACGTGGTCCAGGGTTCGATTCCCGGACGACGCACTCCTAAACCTCACTAAGCCGGTAGCAGGACCGGTAAAGAGGGAAGGTTGGGCGTGAGGCTAGCAACCTCGCCCCATAAAAATTAACATCACCGTTACAGAAAACTTCAAAGCTCTAGGTTGAAGATCTATTTTCTACTGGGAACGAAAGGAAGAGGAAAAAAAGAGTATCAACAGATTACACTTCAAAAGCATCCGTAAGAGATAAAATGCAACAATATAACACTAAACTGAATATCAGATATATTAAGGGAAGTAACAGAGAATTTATGAATTTATAGGCTCAACAGAAGGTCAGGGCAGCAATAGTGGCTGGACCTGTTTCTTTCTCATGCAGAGGTCCGGTTAATTCAGGCAAACTATAGTGGCCCGGGCTGTTTGAAGTATTCGGTATCTAGAGTCTTTTGGTAATTTATTCGATACGTGGTAGATGAGATAGAAAAAATTCTTCAGTGCTAGCTTGTGGCCTGCTTGTAGAAGGTGGTCCAGTGGGGAACTGCTGACAGTTTTAACAACACTTTTATTTAACCACACTGGTAGGTGTTCTCGGGAACGAAAAGTTAAGTTCCTAAAGTGAATGGTCAATATAACTGGCTCCATAGGAGCAGTTGAATTTATAGATACAATAAGAGATGACTATCCTAGGTACTTCATCTTTCATTTTCTGAATCACAAATTGCATTTTCTTGATTTTATGCTACTATATGCGGTCTGTAGGATCAGGGACGCTTCGTTTTTACGTATGTCTAAGTGACGTCCATTGAAACTGGGACATTTAGGGATGTTCTATATCAAAACTCAACTATACAGGAATTACTATAAGACTGAAAGAATGAAAACATGAGTGACTGAACAAATAAAAGTCAATAAACCATTGGTTATATCATTCTTGTGCATACAATGATTCTGTTTACTCAAAAAGCACGATATAACAGAGACATAAAATTCTATGAAAGGCTTTATGACAAACAAAAAAAATGTTACGTATGCGAACAACCAAAAGTAAGCATCTAAAAATATTATTTAACCGTTAGACATCGCTAAACGCTCTTAGGTTCTCTTCCCATCCCTTTGCGTTTCGAATGGAGCACAGGGCTTCAAGTATCAGCTTTGAAGTTTCCGTAGCAGTGGTGTTTTTTTCCGGGTTGGGGTTGCTAGCCTCACTCCCAACGTTTCCATCTTTACAGGTTTAGGAGTGGCGTCAGACGAGAATCCAACCCTGACCACATGTGTGGTTTGTGAACATTCTACCATTGAACCACCGAGGCTGTAGATGCTGAATGGCTACAATTATTTAAAGTTAACATGTGTTAAGAAGCCAAAAATACAACTCACCTGTTTCTCTAATGCAGCTAACTGATTGTATGTTTTACCCTTAAGTGTTTCAGCAACACTTTGCATTACAGACTGACTAATTGTAGCTGAACTACGTCCCCTAGTATCCGCGCCACAGGCACCAGCAACACCTGTATTTTCTTCTAATCTACGTAATTTATTTAATTCATCTTCAACAACAGTTGTAATATCACGCCAGTATTCTGCATTACGACCTTTTTCCAATTCCATGTAGACTACCTATCAACAAAATAAAGAGGAAAAAAAAGAACCAAAGGAGAGGGAGTATATTTAGTGTAAAGAGTATTTTAATTAGAAAATAAAAAAAGGAGAAAGTAACTGAACTTTCAATGGGGCTCCCCGTTTTATTTTAATTAATAGGGGGTAATGAAACAAGCAAGCGCCTAGACGTTAACCAACCTAACCAGCTGTTTCAAATCTAAAGCAAGTCTATTATCAAAAGTTTATAAAGACTGCTTGCCTAAAAATATCAGCTCAGATGGAAAAGAATATTAACAAAACTTAACAGTTTGTATGAAAAGGTTCCCATTAGCGACCCAGTTAAACTTAGGTATCCGTGTCCAAATGCTCTCGAGTAGCCACGTGTTTATACCCTCTGCCAGTTAACTCCTATTTACTGCCTTTACGCAGCGATAGTGTTCCTCACAAAAGTGAAAGGGTGAGTCCGAACGTCAGGAGATTACAACCGGACATGCAGGTCTACTAACCTAGGGGAGCTGGAGAACCCTGATTCCAAACGTATGATGTACATAGGCTTCAGAATCCAAACGGATCAAATGGTGTATAGACATAATTCAGTCACCGGAAACCGTGGAAACACAGCTCCTAACACTACTCGACTGCTTTATGGATCAGACTAAAAGTCAAAGTGTTGGGCTCGGGTGGCCCCTTAAGACAACCATCTGCTTCCGTCTGGGTGTCCATGCAGTATCCCAGCCCTCGCATAAGCTATGAGACTTTATGTGGCGCATCTCTTGGTGTCCACACAATGTAGCAAGTTTTTGTTTTAATAAATAAACAATATATTAAATGGCCTTGATAAAGGATACAGACAAATGTTAAACATAGAGAAAATCCAAATAACATTATATAATTTAGACAATTAATTCATAAAGACGACTTCAAATGAATGATAAGAGGAGAAAAAGAGATAAATGATAAAACGATAACAAATAACAACATTATTTAATATCTTGAAGTCAACTGGTGGATGATGACTAGTAGTGGAATCCAGGATGCGCATTTCGTCCTATTCGGGACTCGTCACTGGATGTACCTGCATTCCCCAATGAGTGATGGTGCTCCCACCGAGGCTCGAACCCACTGCCCGTAGTTTCAAACGCCAAAGATTGCCGAACAGGGCGAAATGCGCAACCTGGATTCCATTGCTAGTCATCATCTACCAACTGACTTCAAGTTACATGACCAGACATCGTCGAAGCATCTGCACAAGGAGGCAACATGTCAGTTTACCGTTAGCCAGTTCAATTCGATAATTATAAGTACATGTTGTGGCGTGTGTCACTGATAAGATTTATCAGTAGTATATAAAGAGACTTTCATCGGCATATAAACATCAAACAGCAGGGAGATAGATTTAATGTCAGAGAAAGAAAATGATACGGCGTAGTGGAGATACATGAGAGACGTGAAAGGAACACAATATGAAGGTCAGAAGTAGCACAGCACGGAAGATCTGTGCAATTGGTGCGTTGAAGATAGGGTGTACATAATTTGGCCATATAAGGATACCAAACTACAAATAAATATTCCTTTTTACGAGTTTGACCACGGATTGATATCAGTTAGAGAACCATTGAAAACCACCAAAGAGTACTGGACAGCTGTTTCATCCTAGTTTGGGAGTCATCGGCAGTAACCCACCCATGACCTTACTAGGAATCGAGCTCGGAAATCGGGGATAGGTTAAAACTGATAGACCATTCGACTTTTTCCCAGTAGCTCAATAGTCAACGAGGCCTGGATTCTATCCCTTGTAGGGGGTCACAGGTGCGTACCACTGAAGAATCCAAAACTGAGAAGAAACAGCTGTCCAGTGCTTCTCTTACCGCACTCAGTTCGTGATCAAACCTGAAATCAATTAAATCCCTGCAAACTAACACTTGAAAATGAGTCCAGTGCTCACTACTAGTGAATGACTAAAGGATGAAACTGCCTGAACTTCTAGTGAGAAGTCGTGACCAGTGAGGTCTACCGAGTCGGGTGTAAAGACAAATACTTATCGATGACACTGGTTGGCGGTTGCCTTAATGATCACGAGTTGGTGGAAGTTAGAATTGATGGGTTATTGGTTTCCGTACATGAATGGTTTACGAGCTCACCTTATCACTTTGGGGTCTTGAGTTCAGTACCTGGAGGCATCATGTGTAAATACTGCTGTAGAGTCTCAGACAAGAACGAAACAGCTGTCCGGTACTCCTTGATTTTTAATGGTTCTCAAACTGAAGTCAATTCGTGATTAATCTTGAAATAATAGTAAATAAAATACACGCCCTACAAATACATGCAACACTAATATAAAATCAAAAGAAAAGGAACTAACCTTAATATCTTCGAGTAAATCTTCAAGATCCTCTATGCCTAAACCGACAAGAAATTGTGTCGGTTCTAAAATCTCAACAGCACCTGATATATCGAATTCCATGGCATCTTCTTCTTGATCAGCAATATACTTAGCCAATAAATCGATTGGTTTCGCTCGACCATCAGCAATACGAATACGTGAACGCAGTTTAGCCTAACACATTACAAAACAAAATAAGGAGAGATATGCTAATTCAGAATATGCCTTTTAAAGGAAAGAAAACTTATTCATTCTCATAGATATCAAACCAAAAATCTTAATGATAAATATCCAGAGCATAGACGATACCAATTTCCTGGAACAAGATTATTCAAAAGAATTCCAGTGTGTCTGGAAAAGTAAAACAAGATTTATCTGAACGTCTTGGTGTTTACGTCAAAGCTACTTCAACAAAATTCTGCTAGGATGATTGTAAATAGCTTTATAAAATCTCAATTACCTGGCATATTTTCACACTGATATACTAAGTAAGTTATGCGACAGGAATACGTTGGACTGACCGATAAAAAACTCTAGAAGATCTGGATTTCACGTATGAATGATTCATCTTTAGTGTCACACAAACTCGAAGACTTGCAGGCTAAAACCAACAAACTGACTCAAAAGGCTGGCAGCGAAGACAGGACTACAGGTGAACATAAAGAAGACGAAGTTGATGAAGATAACCAACCAACAGCAACAACAACCAGCACCAATCACCATCAACGGGAAAGATTTGACAGAGTTTACTTCCTGGCTTCACTTATCTAGGAAGCATAGATTCAACCACAAACAGTCGGAACAGATGAAGACGTCAAAACCAGTCAGAATCGGAAAGGCAAGATACGCCTCAATCAACCTGAAACCAGTTCGGAAATCTTCTGCACTGAATCAGCCAGCATAAAGAACAAGATTCGGATTTTCAACACCAAAGTTGAGTCGGTCAATTCTTCTATACGGGTCAGAAACTTGGCCAGCGTGTCACAAAAAGGATTTCCAACAGGCTACCTAAGACTTTTGTCAACAGCTGCCTTCGCTGGCTCCACACTGAAGATCAAATAGCCACCAGGCCAGAAAGAATTAGTGACAAGAAACTCTGGCAAAAAGCCAACCAAGATCCGATCGCTCAACAAATATGTAGGAGAAAATGGAGATGGATTGGGCATACGTTGACGAGGCCATCAAATGAAATCGCGCAACGCAGGCCATCACTCGAGTGGAATCTAAATAGGAAACGATGAGTGAGTCGTCAGTACGAGGGAGACCTGGAGGAGATCGTGTTGTGAGGAGGAGATGAGAGGTTGTGGTCAGTCGTGGACCCAGCCGAAGAGGACAGCACCAAATAGAACAAAGTAAATGATTTGTTGTGGGAGCCCTATGTTCCACTTGGAGCCAAAGGGAGTAATAATAATGAAACTAAGTAAATTATGAGGCTTATAATACTGCACAGTTTATCAAATAGAGTTTAGAGTGTAGGGTTTAAATTCGTGATCTTATGACTGGTAAATATTAAACACCTCTTACAACTTTATATTAATTCTAGTTGATACACATTTACACAGAGGTAATGAAGATATCTAACCAAGAACATGGGGAACCAATCACCATCAACAAGAAAAAATCCACAGCACATTCAGAAATCTAAAGGAAGGCACCTCTTTCACTTATCTAGACAACATCGTTTCAGTTATACTTGACACAGATGAGTATATCGAAGCCAGAATCAGAGAAGCAAGACAAACCTTCATCACTTTTAAGCCAGTGTGGAAATCTGCTGCACTCAACATAAGGAACAAAATCTGAATCTTCAACACTAATATCAAGTTAGTCAGTGATTCTATATGGTTCAGAGAGTTGGCGAGCGCGTCACCAAAAGCATTTCAAGCAGGCCAGTGCAGACTTCTATCAACACTTCTGTCTACGCTAGCTCGACACTAAAGATCAGAAGGCAAACAAGAAAGGATAAGGCAACAAGGAACTCCGGAAAAGAATCAACCAAGAACCTACTACCCGAAAAATATGCAGAAGAAAGTGAAGATGGAATTAAGGCACAGTTGGATGACACCACACGCAAAGCAGGCCCCCAAGCTGAATTCGAATGGGATACGAGTTGATCGTCTGAAAGTAACATAGGAGAGGTTCGTGTGAGACGTAAATGAAAGCTTATAGTCAATCGTAAAGTCAGCTAAAAGGGCTGCAATGAACAGTGCCACTCAGAAAGAACCTAAGGGAATAATAATTACGAAGGCACACATTTATTCTGTAAGAGGATAGAATGAATCTTCGTCATAAATATTATAATAAACAATAACGTATGTTAAGTCCATTTGATCATATCTTGACCTAAATAAAAATAACATATTCCCTGGAATTCATTTATGGTCAAGTTTGGATTTAAACAGCTTACGTACAAACACTATCTACATGTTTTTTTATAGTTTGGTTTGTAAGGATTAGTTATGTTTTACGAGTTGATCACGGACTGATGGTTCTCTAACTGATATCAGTCCGTGATCAACTCGTAAAACTATCTACATGTTTAAACTCAATTACTCAGAACAAATTTTTCCTGTACTAGGCTAAGAGCGACACTTATCGTGTGAGCGTTGATGACACTACTCACTTGCCCAGATTGAAATTATGCGGAGTGGGACTCGGACTCACGACACATTTACTGAAAAGAGAGTACCTATGCTAATAAGCCAAATTCCTACTCTATATATAAAAATACAGATTAGAAAACTATGCACTCAACTACTCACAGTGTAGTAACTAGCCTGAAACCTTTATCATTCCACAAACCCCTATCTCAACCAGCCCCTAGTATAAATCTCAAAGGATGTAATGGTATCAACCTAGAATATCCTGCTTCACACTTCCTGTACTATTTCACTCAATAACAACAACAACAACAAAAGAAACAACAGATAGTTATCGGAGAAAAACAAATCACTCGGCAAAATGATTATCTTACTGACCTGTTCTAAATGAAAATGATCTTCTTGTTGTTCCCATGATCGATAATATTCTGCTTCCTTATCGCGTTGCATCATTTCCATTTCTTTTTCATGTTGTTCACGTTCTCGTTCTCTTTCAATTCTTCTACGTCGAACAGCTTCCAATTCTATTTTGTTTTCTTCCATTTTCTTTTTCTGTAGTACTTGTAGCTAGATATGTTAAAAGTGAGGGGAAGAGGGGAGGGGGGAGTGAATTAGAGTTTAGCGTGAAACAAAGACGGTGTCATTATAGATCTGATAAACCCTTTAGAAGAAAAAATAAGACATTTAAGTTACTTTGATTGAACACTAGGTAGTAGTCGCTGGTCCTTTGTGTTTGTGCAGTCCGAATTCTATCAGTGGTCACCATGGTAGATTATTCTCCAGCACGGTACACTGCGAATTGTTGTTAGATGGGTTGGAGGCAATCGGCAGGAAGCCTTGTTGGCATTGGTCAGCAAGGCGTATCTGGAACCTCTTCTGACGTTCGAATCCAGGTCATCCAGTGCTGTAGTCAGAGACGTTACCATCTAGCTATTCAAGACTAATCAAGACACTTAGAATAACCTTACACAACTGTAACAGGTATGTATTCTTCACAGCACCATGACTCCTCTGGTGATATTCAAGAGATTGTAAGACTATAGGTTTGGTTCCATATTATTCTGTTTGCCAGACATATAGCACAGTGAAACAGTATTAATACTGGGTGAATTTCGGAGACAAATGATTTTCCACTGTTTTATAAAATGTAACCTCACAAATTTGAGAGGTAGTTTTTTATGGTTCAAGTCCTTCTCTTATTCTATCTACCCCATGAAAAGTCGGCTAATTTCATTCCATTTCACTGTATCTTTGCTTTCATTATTATAATCATCATCTCAGTTATAATGTTTACCAACACTTGACTTACTATAAACCTCCCTTTCACTTACTTAATAATCTTTTTTTTCTAAATTTTAATTCATCCCCTTCAGCTCTACTCCCTCTAAGATATCAGGTTAATTATCTTTCTTCTTATCATATGTAGACTGACTGAGCGATTGTTTAGTACAACTTAATGCCTTTTCCCGTAAAATGAATACGACTGTACAGCTTGAAAATGAAGTCGTTTGAAAAAAATATTTCTTCGTTGAACAAATCCGTATCTCTCCTACTGTAAATTTGTATTATCCTATTATGATGACTGACTGACTGAGCAAGTTTCAATATAAAACTTTGCACAGAAGCACAGTAGTTCAAGTAGGCACACTTCATGTAGCACACAAAGATAGAGAAAAATGAGAAAAGAGATTCAACAGAACCATTACGAGCAAAAAATGTCCAGGAGGAAGAGTAGTTACATGGAAAAACATGAAGGATCAATGGATATGGGAGATTACAAAAGGTGAGTCCATCTGCACCATTGAGAAGAATTTTGAGCCATATCACCAACAGTTTCCAGCTACCGGACAGTCTACACTTCCTTACGTGGCCTAAACCAAACTGCCGAAGACTTCATGGACTGGTCCCGTATTTTGGTTTGACCACCCTTAACTCTTTTTTACAAGCTAATTCTATGTCAGTTTACATAGCCCGTCAAGGAAGGCGGTGGCTCGTCATGAGTAATATGTGTCCTAGTCATTTCAGTCGATATAGCTTCATAACCTCATTTCTTAAGTCTGACTTCAATATTACTCGCTATATTGTACCAATTAACATGGAAGAATTGAACGCAAGTATCTGTGGTCAAAGACAGCTAGCCTTTTTGTATCTTCCAATTACAATGGCTATTTTTCACTGTCTTAAAGGAAGACACGGCGAACTGCTGCGCAATAAATACATGCTTTTATCTATAGCCCAATATCATGTCTACTCGCCACACATGATCTAAGTTGGTATATACCACATGAGCATTTTGTACTCATGCTGAGATCTAGTCAGCGATCAGCCCATTATGGTTGATGCAACTTCCTAAATTAATGAAGTGGTTGGCATGCTCTACCACTTCACTTCCTACCTTTAGGCTAGGAGTTGGTGCAGTCCAGTCCAACAGAGTCACTTTACATCTGGTAGGAGTGAATCACACGACTGGTTGTAATTACTCAAATGAAAGATAAAGTACCTATACTAGCCACCTCTCTTTCTTGCCTATCGATTCAAATGCTCTTGTGCAGCCAGTTATGGTAACTGCTGCTCTAGGAAATTAGCTTCGAGTTCTCGGGAACACCTACCAGTATGGCTAAATACAGGTGAAGTAAAAAACCATCAAAGGTTCTATATTTAGAAAAACACATTTAAGCGAACAATATTGTGCTTTCAATTAGATCTCATCAGACTTAACTCTAATATACATAACTTTACAAATAAAAATTCAAATATAAACCAATTCAGGGTGTTTTGTCAATAGGATAATAAGATTGTGCATATAAATTGTGCAATTAGTCATAATAATAGTAATGATAATAATAATGGTTCTATCAATAACACGGATGAAAAAGTGAGGCAATCTGTGATAACAAGAATAACGAAAAACAGCATGATTAAACAAACAAATGTTCAGGTAGAAGTAGTCGATAAAGCCTAAGGAAAACAAATGAACTGATTACTTAATGGTAGATTGTAAAGGAAGTAAATAAAATACGTTTTAATGAAGATGTGATAAAATTAAAGGATGATAAGAGGGGTTGAAAATATAAGTAAAGGGTGGTGGAGAAGTTATCGGTTGATTATGTCTTAATAGGCTTAGGGAGGGATAATGGCTGTACGAACTTCTTTTGAATACATAGTTTAGGTTTAGTAGTTCGAATGCCTATCTCCTCAGCTATGTGCAGTAAACGAATACGAAGCCTATTGGAAAGATTCGGTGGGATGCGATGAATTACCCTGAAAGCTCTCCTTTTCTCCACTACATGACCACTATCAACTAAATGTGACAAAATGGAGCTACGAATTATTTTTGTCTGTCCTTTGCCAAACCACAATGGGATATGTTCAGTAACAACACGTTGGCTAAGCTGTCTAGTAATAGTACGTCCAACACAACTGTCACTGTAGGTGCAGTTGAATTGATAAATGCACATAAATGTGGCAAAACTATCTAGCTTATCCTTCGTTTACATCCCAATCATTCATCGGCTAGAGAATGACAAACATAGGTTTGCTGCGTAAACCATTCTTCGTATACTCCTGAAAGGTCTCTGGAATAAAATCTCACTTGACAAGTCACTATTAAATTGTAACTTAATAAACAGAGGTTTTGTACATGCAGTCATAGTCTCAGGTTATCTGTTCAATGTTATCATATGTTCTATATTTGTCACCTCGTCCAAACAGGCCACAAAACTAGCATTGAAGAGTCTTTCTCTATCATCTATCGGATACCGAATAAATTAACAAAGACCTCTAAATACCGAATACTCCTAACAGCAGAGACCACTGCAATTCACTCTGAATAACAAGATAGTTCTGCGTGCCACTATTAGACTGCTATGGAACCCGTAACTTCTGTATTATATCTCTTAATTTATCCGTTATTGATCTATTGATCTTGATAACTCAATGTTATTTAAAACACTAATTTTTTTAATAACGATAATGCATTATTTATTATGGACAGATAACTGTAGAACCTGATGAAGAAGTTGTCGAAAAGAATAGCATTCCTTATTCACTAATCAGCCTTTTAAAATGTCACATTACTTGTGTGAGGAAAAATTTTACAATCTCATATGAGAAGTGGTATTTCACAAAACAATAATAATAATAACCTGTCCTTGTTCATAATACTCAGAATGACCTGTTCGATAGCTAGCTGGTATTTACGCTTTGTTAACTCCTGACTTATTACAGTACTTGGAAAAATAATTTTGATCTAATACTTCTAACTTCCTTATGGTTTTTCTACTTTCAAAAGCCATGTTTTACAAATAATGAACGGATCACAAGGCAATGGTTATACATTCTTTTTTGGAAACAGTGAGATTCAACTGACGATATGGATATTATAAGTGGACAAATGTCAAATAGTATATGCTTGAATAAAATTTCGAAAGTAGATTGTCTGGGAAATCTGGGGATTCACTTTGAACTCTTTAACATTGGACAGTTGACAGTTCAAACATTTTTGGTGAACTTTTCATGTGATTAACAAGGTTTTAAGGAGTCAGTCTCACAGCTTAATACAGAAGTTTTCGGGAGTTATTTTGGTTGGTGTTGATTAGCCATGGAATCTAGAATGCGAATTTCGTCCCACTTGGGACTCGTCAGTTGGATGTACCAACTTAAATAACTTCATGTTAATCCTTAGACACATCGTCAAGACGTCCATACTAGGACTCGATATGACGACAGAGACTGAGCATTTCGGTTCAATATAAACAACTAGCAGGAAATGTAAAAATTAACCAACACACATCAGGATTTAAGCATATTCAGCTGACAAGTTATATTTCGATGGGAAGAAGCACGTGACCTGAATTCTTCTGCTAGTCGCCATCACCAGATAATGAAGTGATGTTAAATTAATGATAAAACTTTGTTTTTTTAAAAGAAAAGAAAAACTGAGATAGTAATACAACACGTACTTCTTCTTTGGATAAATGAGAGAGTCCTTGTCGTTCCAATTTACGCTTCCAGACAAATGATTCGGATAGACGATGATCACCGAATGGATTGTCTTCATTCGTATAGCCTAAATATTCTTTATCCCATCCCATTCGTTCACGTCTCCAGCGTTCTTTAGCTTCTTTTTTAGCCAATCGCCTGGCTCGTTTTTCTTCGGGTGTTTCTAGAATCTTGATCAAGGCCTTTTAATGTTAGTTTTTAAAAAAAGAGAGAGAGAGGAAGATAATGGTTACAGAGATGGATAAGTAGTACATTCAAAATTCCAAGAATTAGATCAACTACCTACTATAAACAGGAGGGTTTTTCTCCTACAATACACCACCAGGCAAACGGAACACAAGTTTGTGTATCAATCTCTGAGTTATTTAAGTCGTGTGAAGTCACACAAAGAAATAACTACAGTTTTACATTCGCAATCTTTAGAGCAGTAGTTGAACCACAGACTCGCGAATCGGGGAATAACACTTGATTTTCTCGTATTCCCTACAGCGAAACGTAAATTACATTAAATGTTTAAATAAAAAGGTATCCTTTTGAGCTATATTAAATTTATGACTACATTTTCGCAAACAGTTGAATTTTTTGATTTACCTATCAAAGCCTTCGTTTGGTTCCTTACACATTTCAATAAGCCTAACACCACCATTAACCAATATCAGATAACAGGAGCCAAGACTCTGTTTAGAAATAGAAAATAAACTACAAGAATTCAGACATATTAAAGAGACATTAATTCTCGATAGTTGTCCTTCAAAGTTGACTTAAAGATGTATAAAACCTGATGAAAATACAAACAATAACTTAAGTGACAGTGGAATATGAGTGAAACACAATTCGAAGTCTATATAATGTTGCCATGTATAGAACTTTACGTAGGATTTTTAGCAGAGATGAGACTGTAGTGGCACGTAAATCTACAAATTCACTCAAGGAGAATTTATATAGGCTGAGAGATCCTACAGTATCAGCTGACTGTATAGAGTCAAGGTATATAGATCAAAGCAGCTGAACGGGGTAAGTCAGAATATCTGAACACAAACTAAAGCTAAATACGGTCCTGAAAGTATTCTAATAAGCTAAGCTATCTCACTGTATGCACTGGCATATAATCACGCTATACAGTGTGGGATAAGGAGGAATGATCAATCTCTGTTTAACAAATCAGTACCAAATACATGTATCTGAAATGATTTCATACTTTTCAGAAGGCCAATACAAACTAGGAAAAAGGCGCCCCCACCAACAAACGGGTACGGCTGATCATGGGTGGTAGACTTCAGTCTCCCTGTTGAAATTCTGTCATGTGGTGTCTGCCAGGTAACCCGTATCCACTCACTGCCTTCTCACAGTAGGGGTGTTCTTCACAAAAGTGAAAGGGTGAATCCAAACGTCTGGAGCTTACAACCGGACTGGTGGACATAAGGTCCACCTACGGGAGCTAGGGAAACCCCGAATCCAAACCTATGGTGTACATAGGTTCCAGAGTCTGAAAGGATCGAATGGAGTATGAACCTGAATCGAACACTGGAAACCTTGGGGACGCAGCTTCTGACGCTGTTTCACCGCCTTGTGGATCAGGCTTCAAGTCAAAGGTTAAGGGGGTGAGCCAGGTAACTGAGTTCTAGAGTAATTTAGCTGACTTATACTAATTCTGTTACTTTATTTAAATAAAGTACAGTATGGCACTTGATCAATATAAGCTTGTTTCTCCCGTAAATTCATTCATGAGGAACAGAACGATAACAACATTAAGGTAGACAATTTAATTTCCTCACTGTTCAACAAATTTTTCAAGCTATTTATGAAGTTTCAAGAAGTCATAACAACTTAGTACATTTTCAGGGTATCTTCATTTTGATATCCCTACAAAGGACAAGATCACTGAGTTGCAATAGTTAGATAAAAAGAACTACTTCAAACAAAAGTATATCACAGTTCAGGTTTATTCTTTATCAGTCGACAGTGCTTAACTGAAAAGAATGTCAACAAGGCATAGTATCTAAGGAAGTGAGGTAAAGCGTCATTTGCGATGGTGGCGATCAATGTTATCCTCCAGGATTGTTTATTATCAACACTGTATTATACTTTATGAATAACTACGCACCAGTGTGTTTGAACCACACAATACTTTGTAGTCAATCTACTGAACAACGCTGATGAACGCCGATAGCGTTAAGTACGTTTTGTATCGCTATTTGTATGACATTCTGGAGTAGAATTCTACAGGTGACTTTCGTAATATATTATGTTGTTTAAATAAAGACAACATAAACATAAGAAGGTGTTACCTACTAGATAACATTCCAAACACAATCATAGTGTTCGTATAACTCTCGACACTTGGTTTTTATTGTTAAATATTTGCAATAGGGGAAACTCAACATTGAATAACGCTGTGGTGCGGTAAACAAACGGTTGTGCTAAAGCCTAATGTTAGTGGTCTTTTTAAATTACGACAGCTGCACAAAAGGTGGACAGAGTATCCCCCCGCCACAGCTAACTAAGAACCTCAGATAATAAACTCTAATGTCGAGATGTCATCAATTAATAAAAATAAAGTAATAAAATAAAGCGAGGTCCGCCGAGTCAGGCATGAGGACAGTTACTCGCTTATGACACTGGCTGGCGGTTGCGTTGAATATACCTCGAATTGGCAGAAGTTAGAATTCATGAACCACTAGGTCGGATCCCAGTGGCTGAATGGTCTACGGGCTAGCCTCGTAACCGGAAGCTCCTTGGTTTGAACCCCGATTGGTGAATAATGTTGAAGAGTCCCGAATTGGGACGAAACAACTGTTCAGTACTCCCAGGTTTCCCAACCATCTCTTTAACTGATGTTGGTTCTTGACAAAATCTACATTGACATTAATCCAAATCCCTTCAAAAAACCCATATTCTATTGATTAATTCAGGACTACCATAAAAGTAGGAATTATTTCATCATTGAAATGCAAGATGTTATGAAAATCACTACAGACACCATAATCTTCTCTTCCCTTTAATATTATGTACCAATAGAAAAGAAAGTATTTTGCCATAAGCTTATAAATTACCTTTTTCTGTCGCCTTTCTTCACTAATTTTCTGTATCTGTTCTAGTGAAAGTGATAAGAGTTTTTCAGGAACTGCAGCATGCTTCTTTGTAATTCCTTTGACGGAATTATCTTCTGATAAGGATGACGATGATGATGTTGAGGAGGATGATCTAGAAGACTTTCTATGCTTCTTTTTCTTCTTTTTATCTGAATGATGAGACTTTTTCTGATCTGAACGAGAATGTGATTTAGAAGAATAGCGATCTGATTCATGCGACTTAGTTTTATTGTATTTGTATGCAGATGATCGAGCCGAATAGGACTTTTTATCATCACTGCTGTCAGTACTAGGACTTCTGCGACGATTGAAATCCACCTTATCATATTTATGCTGTGAACTGACTGCCGATTTCACTTTGTGACTTATTGGTGAACGGCTGCGGTTCATCTAAAAATAGTAATACTAGTTAGTTGAATGAAACATGTAAAAAAACCAAAAAAATAATCAGAAGAAGAAACAGTAACTAAGTAATAATTTATTGCAAGTAAATATTTTATTACATCTGTACAATATGTATGTATCCAGAAAACAGTTAGCCTTTATGTCTAAAATAATAGTCAATAGCTGTGGAGAATAATGAGAAACCTGCAGCGCCTAAAATGCTTGCTTGTAAACCAGCTAGTATAAAATTTAAAATACATTATTATGTGTACAAATTGATTACCTCTAAATCCTATTCCACCGCCAACGATTGCACCTGATAATGTACTATTCAACAAATCACTTTTACCACGATACTAAAAATTGCAGTAAAATATATATTACACAAGAGTAATAAATCTTACACTTTCAAGTGTACATTCAGTACCAGCAAAAAGTGCTCCAATCATTGCAAAACTTTTAGCATGAGATAAAGAACGAGAGTACATTTCTTTCATAACTTGTTTAGTAGTTGGAGTTTCTGCACCATGTATTGTACTCATTGGATCAACACTGGCTGAAAATAAACCAAAAATGCCTCCCAAAACAAAACCTATATTATATATTTATTCAGTTATTAGTGTTCAATTTGAAGAGTCCACCTCCAAAACAGCTTAGTGAAGCTTTAAATGGACAGCTATCCATTACTCGACGCACCATCAATTCTTCATTCGGTGGTAAAGGAAATGGTAGTAATTTCATTCGAATCAACTTTTCAGGATCAGAATGAATATGATTGGTAATTGTTCTTTTTAAAGATGATGGATCATCACCATGCAGTGCATTGGTTAATTCTTTTGAGAAATTTGCATAACGATTACGATCTGCTTCTGAAAGATCTAGGTAGTCTTTATAACGTTCATAGAGAAGTTCTTGTAACGACTGATTTTCAGTTTGTTGAATTTCCTCTGACATCTTAATAAGAATAAAATAATGTGAGATTTATAATAAAAGTATTATCTTTAAAGTGACTGATGTCAATGAGTTCGACTTGATGAGAAAATATAGACGATGAGCAAATCAATTGAAGACATCTCAAGTAGTGTCTTGAAAAGAAACAATGACAGCTTACAGAGCCAGACGAAAACATAAGTTGGAAGTTGGCCGGTTTGGTGAATTTAGATTCATCAGATAGAATGGTCAACATTTTACTGATATAGTCCCTACGGTTCATGATAACGATTCCTCCACCTTTATCAGGACGTATCAGCATAATCTCTTCATTGTTCATCAATGAACAGGTGAGCTTCTTAAGAGAGTGTGCAGATCAACATGAATACCCAAAGATGTACTGGAAATCACTCAGACGCAACCACATTCATCCAAACACAAGAACGCTGAGACGACACACGCTAAACAACATCGACTCCATTCAATCATGCATTCGTGGGCTAGAACGAAATGTCTACTCACGTGCTCATGTAGTCGAAGACTTAGATCCAGAACTACGCTAACCCTTCGAAGAATATGTTAAAGTCACAGAGAAACAATGGGACAACATCAAATCTGACCTCCTTAAGAGCCTAAAGCCTTCAGTTAATACCGAACGTCCGTTCCCAAGCAATCCAGAAAAGTATGTATTCAACCTCTCAAACATCACACTATCCACAGCTCAACTAGAGGTGTTATCTCTTGGTCCGAAATTCTGCGTAAAACCACGAAGTGTTCACAAGCTTCAATGCCTGGTTCAATTTGAAAACCTGATAAATCAAACCTATGACTTGATACCAGCGTCTGATGAGAGAACCTACAACAATTCAAATCAACTGTCTTCGACTGTTGCCACAAATTTATAAATGGCAATCCAAACGGAAGATCCGTACTAACGAAGAAACATCACAGAGAGCTGAAAGGATTGATGAACAATGAAGAGATTATGCTGATACGTCCTGATAAAGGTGGAGGAATCGTAATCATGAACCGTAAGGATTATATCAGTAAAATGTTGACCATTCTATCTGATGAATCTAAATTCACCAAACCGGCCAACGAGAAAAACATGACGGAGCAGACTGAACAAAAACTAATAAGTTGGAAGTGTAGCAAGACTGACAGAATATACTACGCAACAATCCGTAATCTTGTATATCGATCATACAAAACTTACAGCAATATACCGTTATTGTTTTAGCTTACAGCACATTAAACTATGTGATAACAATGAAACCAACACCTGGGTAGTCAGATATCTTAATTAACTAAATAAAGATCACTATGTATATGCAGTTACCGTGAATAATTTATATTGTTATATTCAAAAGTATGATGACCTCGATGAATACGCCAATAAACTGAATACCTAGACGATATGACTATAGGCAAACAAAGTTCCTGTTAAACATCCATTCATCAATGGATCTATCCTTTTCCAATGCCTTACACAACTGAGTTTTTAAGTTTTCCCACAAATCTAGCGAAAGATATTCAAAGGAACCACAGTGAACGGATATCTACTGACTGACTGGTTTCAGTCACGCACGGATATCTACGGGAGAGAGAATAAGTGCATGGACAATGATGAGAATTTGGCCGACGTAGGAGTTCATAAAGAGTGAATGCGTCTGTGCTACTGAAAACAATCTTAAGCCAAATCACCAGTAGCCTCAAATCATTGGTTCTTAGAGTCTTGAGAACCCCAACAAGGCAGTTTACACTCCCCCCCCCCCTGTGTAACTCAAACCAACGGCTAAAGACTTCATGGATTGATTCCAGGTTTTGGTTTGACCGCCTCTAGGTTTCTTCCAATTTAATCCTACGTCAGCCAACATGGAAGGTGACAGCTTAGAGTGCATATACGTGTCCCTTGCATAAGACATAAAAAATGCAGTGTTGTAGGTGGTCAAAAGCATGATATAATTCATTACTACTTTTTGTCATGTTACGGGTCAACGATTTTCATCTGACCATTAAAATGATGCAAACATACTCATCTCACTCAAAATACTAGATATCTCTGTACTCCATGATGACATTTCTCCATTTTCAAGTATTGGTTTGTAGGGATTTTGTTTGATTGCATGGAGAGTTTCATCATGAGCTGACATCAGTTAGAGAACCACTGGAAAACCTGGGAGCACTGGACAGCTGTCTCGTCCTAGTTTGGGACTCTTCATCGGTATGTACCCACCACAGGAGGTTTGAACCCAGGACCTTCTGGTTACAAGGCGAGCTCGTAGACCATTGAGCCACTGGGACCCGATCCAATGGTCCTTGAATTCTAACTTCTACCAATTCATGACATAGCCCGATGTCTTCTTTGATGAGTTACTGCCTCATCTTCAACCTGCTGTACCCTCTATATTATTATTGTTTCTTGATACTAAGGCTCCTTTTAATACATTAAAAAGGACTAGTCTTTAGAATTACCAGTGAGAGAAGAGCATCCCTAGGTTTATCAAAGTTTTGAAAGTCCTATACAAAAACATCGCAAGAAGTGATAGTATACAACCACCTATTTACAACTATTCTCAACTATCAGTGAAGTTAAATGCAGTTAACCAGTTTCCCTATTCTTCTTACACTTTGGCATCGATGATACCCTGGAAATGGCTCGGAATGATGTGCATTAGTGATGCAGCTCTGCTGGATGGAGAAAGACTATTCGACCTTGACAATATTATCTGTGATAACATGGAAAGATGCAATGAACCTTCCTGACACTAAAATATAACTAGGACTAAGACAAATAGACTGAAGTGATTCAACTAAATATACATACTGAATAAACTGCTAGCCCGTCTCCTGATGCTTAAGTTGTTTTGAGCTTGGTTTTAACAAGCACGCATCTGAACAGGCTACCATGTCATTTTGCGATTCTTATGTGCTAGCTCACACTCATACCTCCAAAATCCCTAGCTGAGCCAGTATTAGCCATATAATTCGAGAAACGTTTTCCCTAAAATCACTTTAATCTATTCAAATACACTGCCCTTGCGAGCATGTCCCTGTGTAATTAGGTCTTTTGTATGTGTTTCTTTACCGGCACTTACAGAGGAACTACAGCCTCAATAGACTGTACAACCTATGCAGTATTATAAAAAGATGCGAATTGGTCGTTCTTCCTAAACTCTTACATCTCATTCGAGAAGTAAATCCGCCTCCCGTACCCAAAACAGGCATTTCAAATAGCAACAAGTCCAATCCGGATTGTGTTGCTACTGTAAACGTTATGGTCCCGCAGCCAAAAGGTGTACTCAACCTTGCGCCTTCGATGCTAAATGGTCAAGACAAGCGTGAGTCGGTACGTAATGCAGACTGAAATCACTGGTGAACCGATTCCCTAACACCTTTTCCATGTCACAGATTGATATTTTGAGATCAGCCTTCTGGTTGGTACCATGGTAGAAGCTAGCCCATCTCACTTACGACTAAAGAGCGTCTGAGGTCAACGTCTAAAAACCTACATGCCACCAGTGGTTTGCCCATTATTATTTACAGTCGATTTCTTGACCTCATTATTTGACTATGTCGTTCATTTTGTTGGGTTTTCATTGTGACTGATGCGACACCAGTATTAATGGTACGAATTTCACACAAAATTATCAGTTGCTGGTAAGCATAAGTGCACTGATTCCACAATAAAACCGTTTTCGGTATTGCCATGCAAAAGCCTTTCTATCCAGCGCACTCTACGGCAGACACTTTCAGTCCTTACAATTCTATCATTCAGTCGTTTCGGGAAATCTTTAAGCATACATTACTTGAATGCATCTTTGGAAGAAGCGTCTATTTCCAGTAAGCTTGACTTTACACATACGTATCACCAGATACCACTTCTTCCTGACACAGTCGCAAGGGAAGAGGCCATTGTAGGTTTGGATTTCATCTCATGCCCTTCGGTTTACGCAACGTCGAGTGAACTCCCCAGAGCTTCATTTACGATGCATTGCATGAACTTTGTCTATGAATATTTGAACGTCATTCTTATAGCTAATCAGGACGAGGATCCTCATCATAGACACATACAACAGACTTTCTCCAAACTATCAGAGCATTCAATAACAGTATGTCTAGCTAGGCAGTAGTTCACTGGCCCTTAAAGAACATCAGGCTGACAAGCATCTTTCCTTTATCTGGAGAGGCACAAGGGATTCAAGATTATCCAGTGCCTCTGTCCTGAAAATCCCTGCGCACAATCGACTAATTCCTCAGTATGCATATTATAACCATGCTGATAGACGTACCGGGAAAACAATGTAAAACCCTAAATATGACCCTTGAAGCACTAAAAACATTTTAGGAAAAACCAAGGTAGTTAAGTCACAGTCAGAACGTCAGTGCGTTGAAACGACAAACTTCCTCTCAGATTATCTATTGAAGCATCATGCTGTGGCTGTCCTACAGTGGTTCATGGCCGACACCCGGAAAACTGATTTCTTTTCCAAGCAGCTGTCTGTATATAAAATGCAATGCTGCACATTTCGTCGCGAACTGCTAACCATATAAGTTCCCACTGAACCCTCTCATCATTTCAGTCAAGGACGCAGGTTTACCGTGTTTACGGCTGACAAACTCTTAACGTAAGCTCTTCACATTACCACGAACAGGTATTTTCCGGGTGAACTATGTTAAGTTGTCTAAGTTTCAGAATTTACGCCAGAAACCCGTCATATACATGGTGACAATAAACCTCTGGTGAACACTTTGTCTCACATTTGTACTATTACGTTGTTTTGTCATCAGCAAGCAGAGGTTACTGGTAAGTTGCTGGTTAAACGGATACTAGGAAAAGTCTAGTAACTCTGGGAACGTGGCACACCATAAAATCCCAGCTGCAGTTGATCAATTAGCAGTGTCCGTAACTATTGTTTTGTGCTATCTAGGGGATAAGAACTGTTACAGTGTTCGCAGGACGATTCCTGCATTTGAAATCTCATGGAAACTATTGGTAATAGTCCAAATATATATCTACCTAAGAAGTTATATGAGTACAGGTGATGTGACGGATGAAATCCCCACTCTTACATCGAAAGCCGAAGCGGCGTATATCGACTTGCATTCTCTCGGGGCCATCATAGCCATACTCAGAGAACAAAAGTGTATAATTTAAGTTTTCATACGCGCGAAACAGCACGACAGTGACGCCACAACAGACAAATACAGACATGGTAACAAGGATAATTAAACATATAAGCCTTTAGAATACTAAGTCTGACAATGAATGAATATTTCTACAGCATTATAAGAAATCCTTAAACCACATCAATATATTGATGTATGAATATTCAAACTTCAGTCTTTAAGGACCCAAGGTTCCCAGATATAAATGTCGGTTTAGCCTTCTTTAGGTCTACAAAACGAGGCTACACCACAAGGCAATAAATATGTAAATGTTGCCCAATGAAATCCTTGAATCTGAAATATCCTCAAACCATGGATTAGTATTTGCTTTTGATAAAAATATCCCTCTAAACCAAATCAATTGGTTTGCTTGCAGTTAAAGAGTGAATCTCACAATCAAAATATCAACCGGGTACGTGAAAGAATTTTTATATGGGACATGATTGCAGTTGTGGTATGTAAAAAGACGTCCTAACACAGGAAAGACTATAAAAGCCTGGGAGCATTTTGCATTCTAAACTGAAGGTACTATCTAGTTATAAAAAAACTTAACTATTTTACTAACGACAAGGATAATACACAAGCCAACACCAACCTTGAGCAGTCAGCCTTGAAAATCAAAATGTGCGCTTAGTTCTCAGTGTTCACTCTTCATTATCGAACGTATTTTTGACGAGATCGTATAAGTCATTTGACTTCTTTGACCTCACTTCTTGTGATTTAAGGGCGGACGTAAATAGTTCTCAGACTACATTGCACAGAATCTATCCACTCAACTGCAGCAACTCTTCAGGATGCAATAAGAAAAGGTGAACAAGATTATTTGTTGTTTTTTTCCATCAAGGACCATACTCTGAATTATTTGAGTAAAATAAAGCTACACAAATGCAGACTGCGCCATGTGTCACCATGTCAAACATACTTCTGTCTCTCTTGTTGTCCTTTTAAATGCATCTACTATCTCTACGATGCTCAGAATAGCACCTCGTTGTCCTCTGGTCTAAGAATCGCTGCAAGTTCTTCTTATTGGTCTGTAGTTTCCTTGAAAGGCATGTCTGCAGTTTAATTCTATCCTTTCAGACTTTGGCAGTGCACAAACTTCTCGAGGCTAGGTAGGTGGGATATTCTGACACCTTCAATTGGAGTGTATTTTAAACCACCTGTTAACTGTAAAATAAAATTAGTAATTCAGTAGTTTGCAGTTAATGACCACCGTCTTTTTACAACCTGCCACAGTGACCAATATACCCAAATGACGATTAATTAACAAGACAATCACGACAAGAAATGCCACTTAACAATTTGCCTCAGCTATGTCTGTCGGCTGCTGTAATGTGACTTCAACACCTGTGTCAAACGAGTCCAAAGCAAAGTAAAGGAACTGGTTCCTTGCCTAAAAACGAACACTAACGCGCACACACTAGTGGCAGATTTTGTGTGTAGAAGCAAATTTCTTATCATTATTTAAATTGGTCAGAAGCTACTCCTAAATAATGATTAGTGAAGTAACCTAACACTGGAAAAATCTGAGAAAACAGATATATCCAAATGTGAAAACAAATCACTTATATTTGGTAAAACTTGGAAATTCAGGCTCAGTGTAACTTTTCTGAGGTCACTGGAAGTGATGTTATGTAAACATGAAAAATTAAGTAATTATACAACAGCTTCTGTCATAACAGCTTCGGTTCCCGGGAGGCCACTCCCTCTATTATTATGAAGAATTCCCGTATGTAGTTAACTAGGTTGACTTGCATGACTGAAATGTACACCCTGTAATACCCCATACGTGTCAACCTACCTCTTAATGGAACTTAATCATTAGTGTGGAGGTTTGAATAACATGAAATCTTGCATTTCCTAAGGCTTTACATATAGTGAATGCATTTTACACTTCGATTACATGAACAGGTGTTCTCAGAAAGGCTGAAGACTTTAGTGACACCATGAGGTTGGAATAAACTTGTTTTTCCTTCCAAGTAGCTAGTCATATGTGTAGGTTTCTAGGACATTTAGTGGTTGATAAATACACTCTGAACTGCTGAAAGTTTTACTGTTCCACTGTATCACATATCCAACCAGCTATTTATTGTGGAATTTTAATATAGATACTAAGTATGATATATGCGGTGATGATTAATACAACACAAAACGACGTTTTCAAGATACTTTATTCATAACACCGAGAAGTGTCTTGAGTAGAACTGATTAGTGCAGAAGCGAGTTAGGTAGACATAAATAGCTACATTACACACACTACTACTTTTAAACAAATTCTTAAAAAAAAGATTCTTCCAGGGTTGCGATAACATTATTATGTGGCATTTTTTCAGCCGAAGGAACATTTTTTCTTTATTGATTTCTTCGCTCTTACAACTGGAATACTGAAACAAAAATCTGTCACCGAAATAATAGTGTTACAGATAATTACTGGCTTTACTTCAATGATTGTGTGTCGGCGGCACGGCGGTAGAATGCTCGTCAACTATACAGGTGGTCTGGGGTTCGATCCCCGGCCCACGCACTCCCTTACCTCGCTAAGCCAGTAATAAGACTGGTGAAGAGGGTAGGTTGGGCATGAAACTAGCAACTCCATCTCGTAGCAACACCATTGCTACCGAAGCTTCACGGCTCTAGCTTGAATCCCTATGTCCCTCTAGTAACGTAAAGGAATAAAAAAGACTTCAACGATTACTTCCATTGCATTCATTTCCTTGTTTCGTTTAACGCCCTTAATATATGAAAAGGGAAATTTGATAAACTCAGATATTGTGCGCTTCCTTATGAAATTTTAATAATCTACCTCACTTATGTGTGATTTATGAATTTCCTTCAGCATGAGTAGCATTTTATTATATTTATCGTTACAGAGAAGTTGTACAAATTGCTGAGAGCTTTTAGAGGTTGCAAGTATCGACGTTCGCGAGTTGTACGGATTATACTAACGCAAGATCTTATACCAATAACTTCTATAGTGTTCGTTCTTCGAGTACCAAAGATAAAGCAAAAGACCAGATTTTGTCGTCCAAAGTACGCAGTATATTTCGGGACAAAATCGGGGGTAGATGTGAATGCTTAGCTAGCTAGTAATCGTGCACGCACGTGACACGACGGAGTACCAAATGGCGGGGATGCTTGACCGGAAGCCTTCAGCTAAACAAGTCGACTTAAACAGTGATGGTCAGCATCCAATGTTGAGTAATGATTGCTGTGGTCAATAATTTTGGGGAATTATTTACCGCTACAGATCACTCCCCCCCCTAGTGGGTTTGTGAGGACCCTAAGACATGACCAGCCGGACGTAAAAAATCTCGGTGGTTCCCTGATGGGTGAAAAAAATCTTCCGAGCGGCTTGATGGAGAGCCTGTACATAGCTTCCTCAATGTCGTCCGTTGGATCCCGTGCTTCGTTTGTTTCCTGTCCAGTGCCCGTTGCACCTGGAAAAGAAAACAAGGATGCTGAGAACCTTGTCAAGGAAAATGTACCAAATAAGCGTGTTTTCTTAAAAAAAATGACGTGCATCTACTATACAGTAAAGTAATATAAAGTTCAAAATATCGGGAAAAAATATACATCTAATTTAATTTTTCTCTAAGTGCATGTTTAATGTACGGTTATAGGAAAAATATCGTTCACTCGTGTTAAGTGATGCAACATAAAAAAAATTGATGTCACTCAGTTATGTGAAATAGGTGTGAAGGTATTCTGGGAATCTAACGTGACGTCCAGAACGCGTTTTCTTAGAGTGATCGACCGAAGTTTCGGTGGCTTTCGCCATGCTAGGGAGTTCTTCGAAGACTACAGGATATTCTATTACTTGTGGATTATTGGGTACGCTCAGCTGTAGGCTAATAGGATTACCTTCTAAGTAAGCCGGTTTCAGACGATCGATACTGACGGTGTCTTCGCGGCCTTTCTTGTCTAAGACGAAGAATTTATCCGTACGTTTAATTACTTTATATGGTCCGTCATATGAGGGTTCTAGAGGACGACGTACCGAGTCGCGACGAACAAATACATGTGAAGAAGTTTTTAAACAAGGGTGAACGAAAACATCAATGGACTGTGGTCGGAGAGGAGCAGGTTTAACTGAACGCATTGCGTTTGTAAGCCTACTGACGTATGAGGTGTGATCTACCGCTGGTGGGAAGCTTAAGGGAGAAACAAACTCACCTGGCAATCGTAGTGTCGTGCCAAATACTAGCTCAGCAGTAGTACAACCAGCATCGGTTTTTAAGGCATTTCGTATCCCTAGGAGAACTAATGGAAGGGATTCAGTCCAATGGGTGTTATTTGCAGCTGACAAACCAGCTTTCAACTGTCTGTGTAGACGTTCTACCATACCATTAGCTTGAGGATGGTAGGCTGTTGTTCGAAAACGCATACAGCCAAAGATTTTAGTCAAAGCGAAGAATAAGCCGCTTTCGAATTGCCACCCGCGATCAGTTGTTATGGAAGATGGGCATCCAAAGTTTCCGATCCATCTTTCTACAAAGACGCGTGCGACGGTTTCAGTAGATACATCCTTGAGGGGTACTGCTCCAGGCCATCGTGTGAAGCGGTCGATGCAGGTTAACATATAGGTATATCCATGAGATTCTGGAAGGGGGCCAGCTAAATCTATATGGACGTGTTCGAACGGGCGTCAGGGATAAGAAAGGTATCAAGGGGGCTTTTGGTGTGTCTTATTAACTTGCACTTTTGGCAAGCTAAGTACTTGTGGGCCCATTCCCTTACTTCCTTATTAATACCGGGCCAACAAAACCTACTAGTTACCAGTTTTGGTGGTAGTTCGAATACCTGGGTGGGACAAGCCATGCAACGTATTGAAGACGTTACGGCAATAACTTTTAGGCACGATGGGGCGAGGAGTACTGGTGGAAATGTCGCAAAGAATAGTATCTTTTCCCATACCTAACGGTTTCTCGGCTAATTGTAGAGTTGTTTTCGACAACTCATACTGAAGCTCGGTATCTTCTTTTTGAAGACGAGCCAGTTTGACAAGGGCTATGCCGTCGATTTGGGTGGGGGAACAAACGCACGACAAGGCATCTGCCACAGTGTTGTTCACTCCGGATACACGGCGAATATCCGATGTAAACCGTGAGATGTAGTCCAGTTGTCGCGATTCCCTGGGCGAATACTTGTCTGAACTTGAGTTCAGAGAGCATGTCAGAAGTTTGTGGTCAGTGAAAATTATGGAATCACGACCCTCCACTGAATGTCGAAAATGACGTATAGCACAGTACATAGCCAGAAGTTCTCTGATGAATGTGCTGTACTTCATTTCTGCTAACTGAAAGCGCCTCGAGGAAAAGGCGAGTGGTTGCCACTCTTTGTTAACTAGTTGTTGCAGAACTGCGCTGATCTCAGTGTCTGATGCATCAATCAAGATACATAACGGTGCCATTGGATCCTGATACATGAGAAGTGTGGAATCCGCAATAGCTTTCTTTACCTGAGTAAAAGCATGTCGAGAAGACGTGTCGAGTTCGATAGACTTGTTACTCCCTCGAAGGAGGTTTGTTAATGGCTGAATCAGAGAAGCACAATTAGGAATAAAACGTCGATAATAACTTACCAAGCCGTTAAAAGTGCATAGACTTTTCCCTGTCTGTGGCTCTGGAAAGTTCAGTATCGCCTCAAATTTACTAG